TGCTTCTGCCACCATCCCAGAGGACATGCTTCTATGCTGATAATCCTTGTTTAAAAAAAAATGTGTTAATTACATTTGTGACTGAACTCCTTGGGGGAGAATTGTATGTCTCCTGTTCTGTTTTACCTGCATTCTACCATATATTTCATGTTATAGCAGTCTCAGATGATGACCCAGCACATGTTCATTTTAAGAACACTTTCACAGCAGATTTGACAAAATGCAAAGAAGGTACCAATATGAGATTTCTAAGGATAGATATGGCACTCAACCCAAGGTTTAAGAATCTGAAGTGCCTTCCAAAATCTGAGCGGGATGAGGTGTGGAGCATGCTTTCAGATGTCTTAAAACAGTAACGCTCAAATGCGGAAACTACAGAATCCGAACCACCAAAAAAGAAAATCAACCTTTTGCTGGTGGCATCTGAATCAGATGATGAAAATGAACATGCACTGGCTCTGCTTTGAATCGTTATCGAGCAGAACCCGTCATCGGCATAGGCCCATGTTCTCTGGAATGGATCTTTAGCGCATCTTGCTATTAAATATGTTGTGACGCTGACTACAACAGTGCCATGCGAACGCCTGTTCTCACTTCAGGTGACATTGTACACAAGACGTGGGCAGCATTATCTCCTGTAATTTGTAACCAGATTTGTTTGAGCGATTGGCTGAAGTAGGACTGAGTAGACTTGTAGGCTCTACTGTTTTACACTGTTTTATTTTTGAATGCAGTTATTTTTTGTACATAAATCCATATTTGTAAGTTCAACTTTCATGATAAAGAGATTGCACTACAGTACTTGTCTTAGGTGAATTGAAATATACTATTTCTTTTGTTTTTTACAGTGCAAATATTTGTAATCAATTAAAGTAAGCACCCTGCACTTTGTATTCTGTGTTGTAATTGAAGTCAATATATTTGAATATATAGAAAACATTCACAAATATTTAAATACATGATATTGTTTAACAGTGCGATTAATCACAATAATTTTTTTTAAATTGCTTGACAGCCCAAATTTAGACAGTAAGGCCAGATCTGCAAAGGCAGGTAGGCATCTTTCAATTGGAGTTAGGTGCCTAAATACCTTTGAGGATCTGGCCATAAGCTCTTTGGGGCAGGGTCTGTCTCTCACTGTGTGCTTGTACAGTCCCCAGCACCATGGGGCAAGGACCGTGTCTTTGTTCCAGGTTTGCACAGCACCTAGCACGATGGGATTCTGGGCCATGACTGGGGCTCCTAGGTGCTACTGCAATGCTAAGCATCCAGTGAGATACCTAGTGTACATCAATCACACTGGATACAAGCTGCAGAGAGGCTTTACGAGTGATGCTCAACCTCCTGGATCCTCCTTCACCACCTTGATCCTTGCACAGAGGGTTTGTGCTGGAGTCAGGGCTGTGGGAGCGTGGGCTGGGAAGTGAAGAATGCAGGGGAAGCCAGAATGCAGCCAAATGCCATTGGATTGGCAGGTCGGGCTCCTTCCCATCTCCCTGGCCTCCAGTAAGAGGGAATTGGAACCTAGCCTGTCAGTCCTGGGGTGATGAGGCACCTGCCAGCGATCTCATAATAACAGAGCAAAGAGGGGGCCTGTCCCAGGTATTTCTCATTCCCATTCTCCACTGCAGCTTGTGGGACTCCACGTAGGAGTAGCAATACACTTTGCATTAACCGGGACTCCGAATCTGGGTTAAAAGCTGCAGTTGAGGAACAACAATGACTGGGCAATTAACAGGGCCTAATCTTGGCGCATGCACGTGTGCACACACACACATCTGCCTTAGTCTCCCTCAAGTTACAGAAAGGGGCACAGGATTTAACTATGGGATAAGGACCAAATAATGCTTATGTTTGCAATGCCCCCAAAGAGACATGCACCTCTGAAGCACCTGGCACCGATCGCTGTCAGTGGCAAGCCGTTTGGCTAGATGGACCATTGGTCTGATCAAGTATGGCCATTCTTATGTTCTTCTGGCTGGCTAGGCACTACAGAACACAAGGAGGTGGGAGATTCCTTTCCCCCATCCCTGCTGTGCTGCAGAGCAGAGCCCCTCTATTCCAGCTTTGCTCCGGCAGCTGAAAGCCAAATAGCTGTTATAAAAGGCTGGGGTGGGTCTATCCTCCCGCGAGCCTAGGCAAGGGCAAGCTGCACTTTGCTCCTGGAAATGAGGGTTATACAGGTTATAGAGGAAGTACTGGGGCAATGAACTTCAGATTTTAGGAGAAAGAGGAAGTCAAGTCACAAACAGAACAAAGAATAAAGTTTAAATGCGGTTCTGCTCTGAAATGTGACTGTGAAAATGCCACCCTTACACTCCGGGAACAGAATTGCTGAGTATCAGTGTCAGAGCTGCTGATCTCAGGGAGATGGAAAATAGGTCTTTACTGCTCTGCATTTGCAGAGTCAACACTGCTGAGTAGGGGGAAGTGGAGTCTTCCTTCTTGTGCATCAACAGAATGGTTTATGTAATTGGATACACGTGTGGAAGCCCAGTGACAGCCAGGGTGTGGCAGATATAATCTGGGCCACAGAAGCTTTACCATCAGTGACGATGGGAAAGGTAGAAAAGACTCCCTAGCTTGTCTCTCAGAGCCCAGGCTGAGTTTGCAGAGCTGGGGGTGGTTAGAAGCAGCATCTTTGTACTTGTAAACTGAGTGCATTTGGTCTGGAGTTGCTGAGGGACAATAAAACCAAAGCTAGTGGTAGTTGGTAGATAAACCTAGATAATTTAGGGGGAAATGTACATTTGCCAATCACAATAGGAATCCTTACCTGAAATCAGGAGAGCAAACAGCCCATGGAAACCATTTATTTATAAAGGCATAGTTTTTCTCTGCAGTGTTTGAAACTCAGACAATCGAGCAGCCTAATAATGAAGGATGTGAGACTGAAACTGACTAGTCTGCTTTCCTGACTTCTCCAAGCTGGTTAAAGTGTAACAAGTAAAACCACTTGCATAAACAGCCAAACATAAATTGGAGCTTTAAAAGACTTTGGCCTACATTCAGTCTGTCAGTTTCTAGCAGCATAAACTCCTGCACAGAAAGCCCACTGAAGGCAGCTGTAGTGATGTAAAGTGGATGCAAGTACTCCAGCCAGTGCCAGGACATAGGCAGCTGCAGGGAGCCAGTACTTCCCAAAAAGTGAGTGGTGCTGAGCTGAGCAGAGGGAGGGCGTAGGGACAGAAACCAGGGAATGCCCTGCTGCAGGCCTTGTCCGTAGACAAACAGCCCAGGCACTCCAGAGGAAACGGTGAAGGTGGTAACAGGTGAGTCTACTTTAGGACATAACGTGTGCATGCAAGAGAGAGAGAAAGCATACACTACAGACTTCTGCTGGCCTAGCTCTGTCAATCAGAAGTGTGATTCCCTGACTGACACAGCTGTGCTGGCAAAAGCCCCTAGCGTAGACACAGTTATGCAGGCAGAGCTGTGCTTTTATGGCGTAGCTTGTGTTTTTCTGGATGGTGGAATAAACTACACCAGTAGAGGCTACGCTGACACTAGCAGCCCTTTGCTGGTGTATTGTACTGGCACAGCTATGCTGGCAAAAGCTCCTAGTGTACCTTGATTATCACACACATTGTAAGGAGAGTGATCACTTTAGATAAGCTGTTACCAGCAGGAGAGTGGGGTGGGGGGAGAGAAAACCTTTTGTGGTGATAAACACCCATTTTTTCATGGTTTGTGTGTATAAAAACATCTTCTGTATTTTCCACAGTATGCATCCGATGAAGTGAGCTGTAGCTCACGAAAGCTTATGCTCAAATAAATTGGTTAGTCTCTAAGGTGCCACAAGTCCTCCTTTTCTTATTTCTATAGCACCATTCATCCCAAAGTACGTTACAGTCTTGAACTGCTCTCCAGTCTACATACGGGGCTCACTTCATCCACCTCAGAAATGCAGCCACCTCTGGGGTAGAGCACGGCAACTGTTTAATAGGATAAGGAGTCAAGAATACCATATCCACTCTGAAGTGGAATTCAGGGACGCAGAAAGTAATTTGGGGTTGAAATGTAGCCAGGACATGAGCTAACACCTTTAGTCTTGCAAAGGGTGATGGGAAATGCTGAGGGGCCCCAGCCAGCCAGAACCTCCGTTTCACAGCTCAGGTGAAAAGAACTCTGCTGTCTAACGCCATGCAGGGCACTGAGTGACCCTGAGCAAAGGGCCCCTTCTCCTCTACTGAGCCATCCTGCAGCATGGTACCCTGTAGCACAGTGCCGGCGCGGGGCGGGGAACACCACCTATTGAATCACCACCAACAATTCTGCAGCGTAGCCTCGTGAGCCAATGTGTTCCTTGTACATCTCCCAGCTAAGTCTCAAACAGCCCAACCCTGCTCAGCTAACGAGATGTGACACGACCACTCCCAGAGGTATCACGGCTTCAGGTGTACCACGAGCAGCACCCAGAGTAGGGGGTGAGGTCCATCAAGGGGTGGACAGCCCCTCCTGTTCCCCCCTCACTGCAGGGGCTGGTGTGTCCCCTTCAAGACCCTGTCATCTCCTTGATGGGGGATGTGTGGCTGCCCTCCAACCCGCATTTGGAAGTGAATAAGCCCCTGGCGGCTTAGGGCTGTGCCTGCTTTGTGGACCAGACGTGAACCCTGAGGGCAATCGCTCTAGGAGGTTTGAGTATAGATGCCATGGCAGTTGCTGCTCTGCGTTGCTGGCGAACACGTGTTAAACTGGCAGTGGGCTGGTAAATGTCAGGCTGGTGCTGAGGCCACCCAAAGAGCTAGGCCAAGGGAGTTTGGCCAAATCTGCGGGGATAGTTTGTTAACGAATGGGTGGTGGAGTCCCAGCTCCCTCTGCTCCCAGCGGTACTGGTGTCACTCCAGAGAGACCTCAGGGTCCTGGTCTGATGTCCCCAAAGCAGAAGGCACGTGCCACTGGGCTAGGCTGGCTCTTTACAGGCGACTTTTTCTCCAGTGACCAGGGGTGGATTGCATGAGAGCAGTAATTCGACACTCCCACCAGCTGGCATGCAAGCAAGCAGTTTATGTAACTAACTTGAACTGAACCGCACGCCACAGAGTAGAGAATCACACTCCGCACACTCACTGTTGGAAGACCTCCGGATACAGCAGCTGAGAGGAAGCAAAGCTGAGATCTAGGGAACAAAGAGGTAATGATTCCTTCGGGGTTTTGCTCCTGGGTCTGGGACATGGGGAGAGTGTATGGATTGCAAAGATTTGCCATTCTCTGCAGCTCAGCTTTGGGGAGAAGATGGCTATTTTATAGAGTGATTCATTTCAGTGTTTAAAAATGTTAACTGAAGGAAAACCAAGAGAGCGTTGATGAGCACCCAGTAAATAGCTACAATAGGTGAAAATACAGATTGATTTATCTGTTCATCTGAAATTATTCTGTCTCAGACATTTCTTTGGCGGCAGTGGGTGCTCCTGAATAGTATTTAACAAGGACAGACTAGCATTTTGTCCAGTGTAGTTTGTTTGTACATTTAAAACAGCTGATGGAAATACAGTTCTTTAGCTTGTGGTTAATGTGGAAATCCAGGTCCCACGGAGACCTTTGGGAGCAGCACAGACAGAGACACTTTTGCATCTTGTTTCACTGTACTTGGAGAGGAAAGGGTGGCTCTTTGTTATTTCCTTTGTCTTAATGCCTGGGACATTCAGATATTGCTTGAAGCGAACAAGGAGCTCGACCCCTGATCATTTAAGTTATGAGATCTGGGGTTGTAGCTGGGCTCCTGGCTCTTTTCTTTCTGGTTGATTCTAGGGCTTTGTGTGAAAGAACATTAATGCTCCTATCTGAGTTTTCCCCAAAGGGAACCCCTCCCCACTGCCTCTGGCTTATCTCAGACGTCTCCCCTCTCCTATTCTCAGCCCTTCGCCATTTACTAGCCCATGTCAGAATGCCAAACCTGAAAAATGTACCCTGGAATAAAGACTTTCGGTTGTGTACACACAGATGTACACGTCCTGGTTGAATTTACAAATTGAGTTAAACCAAGGCAAACCCCTGTGTGGACACCTTATATTGGTTTAAAACTGGTTAGCTTGCTCTTGTAACTGATCTAAGCCTGGTTTAAATCAGTTGACGTGTCCACACACGGAGTTGTACCTATTTAACTAAATCGGTTTAAAATCATGTCTTTGGTGCAACCGTGCTGGTCTACACTAGAAAATTAGATCAACCCAGCTACTTTGCTTGAGGGTGTGAAAAATCCACTTTCCTGCGAGATGTAACTAAGCCGCCCTTAAACCCCAAGTAGACAGCATTAGATCTTCCGTCAGCCCCGCCACCGCCCCTAGGGGAGGTGGTTTAGTGCAGAGACAGGCAAATCCCTGCAGCCGCTGTCGTAAGTGTCTCCACTGAAGCGCTACAGCAGTGTAGCTGCAGCGCTGTAGCTTTGTCCCTGTCATGTTTTAGCCTGTGTATGTTAAGGCAAAGCTAGCTCGAGAGGACTTGTTGGTAATATAAGTTACCTTTGTTATCAAACAATCATTAACGCTCCAGGAAACTCAGAGGAAAAGAGAAACTTGCAAAGAGCTCAACCACCTGAATGGCTGTGAACTCAGGACTCTGGTGACGTCACGCTGGTTCTCCAGTTCTTACGTGGTCTTCGGGACAGACAAGCTCTGTATTTCGAATGTGGCAAGCAGCTCTTCCCCTTCCACCGGATCAGTTCAACGGAGGAGACCAGACTCACATTAGTGACTTTCTAAGAGAAAAAAACAAAACAAAGCAGAATTTTGACATTACTTAAACAAAACCCTCACCCCAGCCTTTCAGGCCTTCTTTATCCATCACAAAGAAACACAAGCAGGGCACAAGTCCAACCATCTCTTAATTCCTTTGCAGGTTGCCTTTGAAGCCAGTTCTGCTTCCCTCAGTCACCTCTTCCCTTCGGCTTACAGGGACTGCGGGGTGAGTAGGTGAGCCATGGGGATGAGAAATACGGGCAGAGCGTTGAGGGATTTCTACCCGTTCTTGGAAAGCCAAGCTCCCTCGCAGCTCACCCATCAACTGCACTACACCAAGCCTCAGCCCAGGGGCTAGTGCGGGACACTTGGTGGCTAAATTGGCTGGCTGGTCAGTCCCTTGTGATCAGCTTCATGCAAGAGCATGTAACATTTACCCCAATCCTCAATAGAGCCCCCACTGCATCATGGGATATTACTCTCAGAGGAAATTGTCCAAGACACCTATCTACCACTTGAAAAAATCTCCCTGCTCCTCACTTGGCTGATAAAGCTGATCTGAGGGGTTTATTTATTATATAGCTTATTCCCCTTCCTTGATGGGAAGAGCTGTATTGCTATAAAGTACCTATTTAGTGATGTACTGGCATATGCATGGGGGGGGGGTTGTGTTACTTTAACTGTACCAGTATAGTTATATTGGTACCTCTTGTGTGTGTAGACAAGCCCTGAGTGACTGATCTGCCCTATTCGAAGTTTCACAAGTATAAGGTGGCTTAATTTGTAATCTACTGGTGAGTGTGTGCTTTGCTACATGTCACCTCCATGCCAATCTGCGAGGGTCTGAATTGTCACAGGACCAGCGATAGTGCTTTCTAGCTGTAGCAGTGCGTGTTTTTAGCTGGTTCAGTCCCCTGTTGTAGGCCAGGATGGCAGCCGTCACACTCACCCCAAATCCCTACCTGTGGCTGTGACTTTCCACCTCACTCAGACACTCCTCTTGCTAATCTAAGCTTCCCAAACACGTACAGGTCCGGTTCTTCACACTTGCCATGTGTGTTGTTCTGGATGATAGTGAAGCCTGGATCTGAGCTTCAGAGCTGGGGTGGTTTTTTGGTTGTTTTTTTTTTTTTTAAGATTCAAAATTGTTTTTCTTCTTACAAAAAACTTTTATTTTCTGCCCTTTTTCTAATGTTTCCCACCCAGTCAATTCCAACAGATGGGAGCTGTGGAGCACCCTGACCTTCCTCCAGTGGAGTTCAGCCTCTGTAACAAAGACATGAGGTCAGGCACAGCCAATCACAGCATCCTATCCATCGGGGAGGAAGAAGGAGCAGGCAATTTCCTGCGTTCTATCCCAACACGAGAATCCCTTCAGTGCCCTAGGGGCTCTGTCGTGAGCTTCCATGACATCCAGTACACCATCAAACAGTCCCATGGGCCCCTCTGCAAACGGACAACGGTGGAGAAGAAGATTCTCCACAATGTGTGGTAAGTTCATGCATCCCAAAATCTCTTTTGGAGAAAGGAGAGGAGTGAAATTTGTTAGAGGGGAGAGGCATCATCTCCTGCAGAAGCCTCCTTTATGCCACTGAGGACTAGGGACAAGGAAGGGAACATGGTTACTGCTTTCAAATTGGCGTGAGGGAGGATGTTTCACTTTTTTATTCATAATTTTTCTAAAACTTCCCACCCCATGGAATGTGTTTGGATCCAAAGTCAGGCCCCGGTTCTGCCAGGGGCTCCCCGGAGGCAGATCCCCATTTGCAAATAACTGTTTCCCTTCTCTTCCAGTGGCATTATGAAGTCGGGTTTGAATGCTATCCTGGGACCAACAGGGAGCGGCAAATCCTCGTGAGTATTTCTTTGGTTTCCTCCAATGGAGAATGAACAGTCCTAGGTGGAAACTCAACTCATTGGGTGCTGGAGGAGAATAGATGGAAAAATCTAAGGCCCTGGAAAGGCACCTTCGTGATTTAGGAACATAGGTCTGGAAGGAACCTGCTGGATCAAGTCCCCTGCTGTCACAGGCAGCCACGTCATATCATGCCAGCCATGAATTTATCAAGCTCTGTTTTAAAACTAGATAGGTTGTTTGCCCCACTACTCCAGTTCAAAGGCTGTTCCAGAATCTTGCCCCTCCGATAGTTAGAAATCTTCTGCTAATTTCCAGCCCAAATTTATTCATGGCCGGTGTATACACATTGCATGGGCTTCAACTGAGAGTGTAGTTTCACGCAGGGGTTCTCAACCATTTCCATACTGCAGCCACTCTGGACCCCCCTCCCATGTAGTCTCCTGTTTACCAGGGTGATTGTGACTCCCTGTTTTCTATCAGGTTACAACCCCCAGGTTGAGAACCCATGGTCTAGTCCAGTGTTTCCCAAACTTGGGACACCGCTTGTGCAGGGAAAGCCCCTAGCGGACTGGCCGGTTTGTTTACCTGCAGCGTCTGCAGGTTCGGCCGATCACCACTCCCACCGGCCATGGTTCGCTGTGCCCGGCCAATGGGGGCTGCGATCGGCCGAACCTGCGGACACGGCAGGTAAACAAACCGGCCCGGCCCTCCAGGGGCTTTCCCTGAACAAGCAGCGTCCCTAGTTTGGGAAACACTGGTCTAGTTCTTAGAGAAGAGGCAGGACTCTGGGATTCTATTCCCAGCTCTGGGAGGGAGCAGAGTCTGACCCCAGGGTTTTGTTCATGGTTCTGTCACTGATTTGCTCCATAACCTTGAGCAAATGATTTCCCTTGTTCTCCCCATCTGTAGCATGGGGGATGATAATACTTTCCTGTCTCACAGGGGTGCAGAGGGGCTGCAGCAATGTTTGTAAAGTGATTGGAGATCCCTGGGTGAAAGATGCTAGGGAAGTACAAAGTAGGCTACTTCCATTTCAAAGTTGGATCTGTTGACTTGCTCTTGTGTGGGAGGAAAAGAGTCTTGCATTGCCACGCTCTCACCACCACGGTGGTCAATGTAAGAGTGACAATGATGGGCAAAGTAGCTCATGGAAGATCATTGCAATGCAAGGCCTAGAGCAGGGTCATCACCCAGGAAGATCAGAGTGGGGGGTGAGATGGTCTCTTACAGCCTTCGTTGAACTCCTCCCAGCAGGGTGGAGTGATTTAAATCAAAGCTAGTTAAATCCATGATTGAAATAATGATTTAAATCACCACGTGGCAAGCCTCGATTTAAATCAGCAATTTTCATCAACCTTTCCATTTGTACTTCAGTTATTTTCTAAAGACAGATGCCTTCTCATTTGTTGAAATAGCTATTAAAATATGTTGATTTACCACTAAAGAGAGCTTTTACGCTAGATTTGGTGCATCTTTTTGCAGCCTACAAGGGTACACTACAACTATATACATTTATTTAAGCAATTATAGAGCAGAATGTTTTCAGATTCTTATTAATTGTACATTTTAGTATGTTAGAAAAAGGTGAATTATATCTTGCTTATTTATTAGATAATTAATGTTTTGCTCATGATTTGTGTCAAGCTGCAACTAGAATTTAATTAAACACACAAAACAGAATATTTACGTCATATTTAAATGCTTTATGAGATTATAAGATGTTTAGGCCTTAACATATTTTGCATTAAATTCAGATTTCATTGAAACAGATGTATATTTAAAAATACTTATTACAATTTAAATAAAACCAAAAAAATCTGATTTAAATAATATTTGATATCTAAATTTTTTTCAAAAAAGCATCCATTTGTATTCACCCAGGATAGGACAAAATCCTATCTGCATAAGGCTATGTCTGCATTACAGAGCCTACGTCGGCATAGGCCTGTCAGCGTAGATACAGCAAACACCAACAGAACGAGTTTTCCTCCGATGTAGGAACATTGTTAGCTACATTGACAGAAGTACTTTTCTGTATACATCTGCATCTATACTGGCGGTTTTGTTGCTATTCACCGACATACCTATACCAATATAAATTCTAAGTGTAGACCAAACCTAAGAGTTCACTTTGGTAATAGTGTTTTATTCACCTCTTTTTGTATGTGTGTGTGTGTATATATATATATATATATACACACACATATATATAGTTGCTCCTCATTTACAATGGATAGGAAACTTAGACAGCACATTTTTGAGTTATAAAAAATTAGCTTGAGTTTGGCTGTTAGCAGAAAGACTCATTCCTTGTCTCCACCGGGATTAAAGCCACTGCTTAGAGTGGGGTGAATAACAGAATTCTCAGTTGACTTGTCATTCCAAAAAATATTGGTTTTGGCTGAACAGAAAATGATGTTTGACGTTTTTGGTGAATCAGAAAGTCAAAAAATATTGGTTTCAGGTCCAACAGAATATCATGTTTGACCCACATCTAAAAATTTTTTTCAGTTTCAAGCAATTTTTTTATTGTTTTCAATTTTTAAAAAAATAAAAGAGGAAAAGTTCAAAAGGACAAGTTATTTGCAATTTAAAAAATGGAACCGTTTCACTCTGAAAATGTTGAAATGAAATGGTTAGACTTTCAGAATATTTTTGTGGTTTGGGGTTTTTTTACACACAATGCAGTGAAATCAACAGGAATTCCTGAAAAATTTTGCTGTCATCAAATCTTTGCGTTTTTCACCAGAAAAACGTTTTGGCTGCAAACTACCACCCAGCTCTACCAGTGTTGTGGCTGCTCCAGGACAATCTCCTAGCTGTAGGCACTATTTACACGAGTGCAACATGATGTGCACCTGTGAATTGCACCTACAGTAAGAGTTTGTACCAATGGCTAAAATCCCAGTGCAGTTGAGGCCTGAACCTAATGCCTCTTGCACTGCTTGTAGCTGAGATCAGTCAGTTCACAGCATGCTCTGAGCAAATTACAGTGCAGGCCCAACAGAAATGCAAAGCCTTAGTAATTATCCCTAATCGCGAAATGATTTTCCCAATGAAAATAAGAGTAGTTATGGAGGAACCTAAGGACTGTTGCTTGTCTTTAGTCTCCTAGATGTGCTGGCTGCTAGAAAGGACCCTGCTGGCCTGTCTGGGCAAGTATTCGTAGATGGCTTCCCGCAACCTCCGAATTTCAAGTGTATCTCAGGATATGTCGTGCAGGTTAGTGTCTGTTTCTGTTCTCTCTGCCTCCTGGCTGGGAGAAGCTGAGGAGCAGAGATATTGGTCATCAAGAGTGGTCAAGGTGTGAAGTCTTTGTAAAGGGGGTTGCATGAGAATGGAAAAGTGGCATCCAGACTCCTACATGGTCACATGGTTCTTTAACCAAGGTGATGGCCCACAGGCAGAGACATCTCAAGCAGGGCCCTTCAGATGCAGGTGGGTGGTTGTCATCAGATGTTTTACTATATCTAGTCCTTGCTAAAGCTGGGAAGCAACAAGAGCTCTAAGGATTTTCTTCAGACTCTGGTCAGCCTCACTCCTACCACGTTACAGGCAGGAAGTGCCAGTTGAATCGTGGAACGAGATTGAAATGGTGGACTCAGCTCATTCCAGAGTAGCAATGACAACCTAGAATTCAGGTAGCTGGGAGAGGCAAAGAGAACATACCTGAACTTGGCAACTAAAGCAGCAGCTGAAAACAGAGGTTGAATTGATGTTGGCTTTCAGTCCTCCAGCTGATGTCAAGTCCCAGGATCCAAACATTCCCCTGTAGCTCTTAGAAAGTGTGAAGGATTTTGATTTTTCCCATAAGAATTCCCAGTTTAGGAATCCTTGCTTTCCAGTTTCCAACCCACCGGCTATCTATAAAGCAACCAAAGCAAAATGCAAAGTGACCTGCATATGGGGAAAATTATTGGGCTGTGCCCCCCCTTTTTTCTGCTTTGTAGGTGGATGAAGGGCGTCAGCGGGTTAAAGATATCTGCTCCTCTCCTGCCTTGGAACCATATTAATTATCCACAGAGTCAGCACTTTGGCTGATGTACCTAAGCATTGTCTATGGAACTCTGCTGATTTCCATCAGCTGAAGGTCTGGCTTGCAAGCCTTAAATAGTAATTTCAATGCTATGGAGCTGCACAGATGTGTGCAAATTTGACAGGTTTAATCTGATCAAAGTGCCCAGGACTGTGTTGAACAGTTGCGTTTTGAGAGCAGTGGGGGTGGTGCTTCCTGACCAGGTGCCACAGAAGAATGTCGGATGGAAGCACTGGTGATGCTGAAGTCAGTGGCAAACCCCCCATTTATGTCATCGGGGCCAGGATTCCACCCACAGTTTTGGTGCTTTGTGGGGTTGAGTATGACTTGCAGCTGGAGCCAATAGGTGTTAAAAGTGTTTCGCTGGCTCAGTCTCATATTGGGGGCCTTGGCTCCTCCGAGGGGCTGCTTTTCAACCTATCGAGACTGAGTACTTGCAACTTCAGCTGGAGTTCTCAGTGCTCAGCACCTCTGGGAGTCAGGCCCACAGTAACTTACATGACAAATGACCTCCCAGTGCAAAGCTGCATAGCCTGCATTTCCAGCACTACAGCAGCCTTTGTGGGAAGCAGTGTTGCCTAGTGGATAGCGCATCGGGCTAGGGGACAAGAGACCTGGGTTCTGTTTACTGACCTGCTGTGTGAGTCCCTTCCCCATCTCTATAGCCCTTTGTGTGCCTTGTCTATTCAGATTGCAAGCTGTCTGGGGCAATGGCTGACCCTCACTGTGTGTATGTACAGCTCCTGGCACAATGGGCCCTGATCCCTGCTGGGGTCGCTCGCTGCTACAGAAAGGCAAATAACAAGGTGCCTGGGACTGAGCTGAAATGTCCTTGGCTTTTCAGCAGTGAATTTGCATTGTTTTCAGGATGACGTGGTTATGGGCACGCTGACTGTGAGGGAGAATCTACTCTTCTCTGCGGCCCTGCGCCTCCCCAGCTCCATCAGCTTTAAAGAAAAGGAAGAGCGGGTCATCCAGATAATCACTGAGCTGGGGCTCAGCAAAGTAGCTGATGCTAAGGCGAGTACCTGCCGGGAGGAGGGGTCAGGGGGAGAACCTGCTTCAGAATCCTAACTTCTCACCCATATAGTGGGGATGGGCACTGTACCATGGTAGGAATGCAGGGCTATTCTGCTGAGCTGCCCTGCACTCAGGGGCTACACCCAGCACAGAGATGTAGAGTTACTTTTGCTGGCTCACTCTGATGTTGGTTCAGCTGCATCCCATTAGCTCCAAGCCAGAGATATAAAAGAGTTTGTGTCTCTCTCTAAGGCTGAGAAAACTAGGGTAGGAGGGATCCTGCAGAGAAGACAGTAGGAACAGCTGAGCCATGAAGGCAGTTTTAGGTTTTGTTGAGCTCCAGGAAGTGGGGCAGCTTGGACCATGTCCAGTGTGCATGTGCTATGTAGGAACAGGGGAAGAACTCTGCCTACAGCCCCCCAGATCACAGGGCTCTCTCCTTTGCCAGCCACTTCCTGGCTTTGCGGTACGATGTGAGAAAGTCGGGGTCATGATGCTAAAACTCATGAGGGGTCAGAAGGGCCCCAGGTGGCAATCTCAGCTGAGGTGTCGTCATTGTCCCCTCTGGTCTACTCAGGCCCTTATGCCATGCCCATCACTGTGGTAGCTGAGCACTCAACCGCACAGTGGAAAAGGCTATGGGGCCCATCCCACAATGGGGTGAATCCATCCTTGCCCCATCTCTGGTTCCCTGGGAGCTGCCGGTGCTCAGAATCTCTGAAAATCAGGCTGCCTTTCGCCAGCAGCACAACTTGTGTTTGAAATATTTGCTCTTGTGTATGATCTCCACACTGCTGCTATGGTGTCCCCTGAGGACAGGATCCAGCAAGCACGGCTTGGCCTAGCGCTTGCAGACATGGCTAGTCCCCTGGGAGTTAATGGGACTGCTTGCCAGAGGTGAGAGTAACTTAAAGGACTTACCGGTATGCCAGAGTCCTGAGCAGGGGGGCGGGGCCTCAACCGTAGGCGGGGCCTTTAAATCCCCAGACCCTTTAAATTGCCACCTGAGCCCTGCTGCCGGAGCACTGGTGTAGCAGCAACAGTCCGGGGCTCCAGCGGTGATTTAAAGGAACTGGGGCTCCCAGCTGCTGCTACCGCAACTGAGTCCCGGGCCCTTTAAATCGCTGACGGAGCCCCAGGGACTCCCGGCTGCTGCCGCTACCCCAGGGCTCTGGCAGCGGGGCTTGGGTGGCGATTTAAAGGGCCCGGAGCTCCAGCCACTGCCGGGAGCCCCAGCCCTTTAAATCTCCAGCCTGGGGAAGCCAGTACGGTTGGCGGTGTACCAGCTCTTGCCGGTATACCGTACCGGACCATACTGGCTTACTTTCACCTCTGCTGCTTGCCATGGCAACCCTGGTGCTCCACAGCAAAGCCAGGTACCAAACACAAAACTCTTTGCTGTAGGTAGGAACAGAACTAATCCGAGGGGTGTCAGGCGGGGAGCGGAAGAGAACCAACATCGGCATGGAGCTCATCACGGAGCCCCCAGTCCTGTTCCTGGATGAACCCACCACTGGCCTGGATGCTAGCACAGCCAACGCGGTGCTCATCCTCCTAAAAAGGTAGGAGCTGCAGGGGTTTATTATCTAACACCAATGCTTCTGTGCTCATCTAAACCCTTGGCTTCCTAGTCTTAGTGCTGGTGAAAGAGGCTGGCCTGGCAGTCTCTTTCTCAGGGCCTGATCCAAAGCCCATTGACTTCTTCAGGGCTCTGAGCTGAAGCCCAGTGAACAGCCACAGTATGGACAGTCCTGTTGCCAGCTTCCCACTGCAACCAATGCACCCCAGCTCTGTCCCGAAGAGGTCACCTCTGGAGCAGGGAGGATTTGAGAGCTCAGTCCTCATGGTCTAGTCACTTTTTGGCTGTCACTCAGAGCGACTAGAGCTGTCCAATGGTGGATTTTTCAGTTTTGCTGGCAATTCCAAGAAGTAACAATAGCAAAATTTGTTTTGGGTTGAACCAAAAATTAAACTTTTCAAAAATTTTCAGCAAATGGAAGACTCAAAAAATCCCAAATCCTCTTGGGTTGAATGAGCCACTTTGTCTTGACAAAATTGAAAAGTTTAATTTTAGTTTTCACCAGTTTGTGTTTTAATAAAACGAAAGGAAATTTTGAAACAAAAGAAATCACTTCAAACCAAAAAATTGAAATATTTTGTTTCACAACTGTCAAAGAATTCCGGTTTAAAAATTATGTGTATATATATATATATATTAGGTCTTTGGACCAAAACAATCTAGTGAAATGGACATAAAATGTTTTGATGCCGCCAAATCTGCAGTTTTGGACCAAAAAAGTTTTGTACAAAACGTTTTGCCCAGACTTCCTCCCTACGTTAGGAAAATGGGCCATGGCTGATAACAGGTTTCCTCTGGTCTCTCGTAACTGAGGCTGTAGATGGACTGACTGCTGGGTGTAGATAGGGCCAAATTGTCCATAACAACCATTCCAGAAAGGCTGCTGAATCTCTCATTCCACCAGAGATGGCTCCCTCCCTCTCAGGCTTGCAGCTTATTGGCTGGGCATTGTAGGGGAAGCTTTCCCAGCTGCTGCCCATGCTGTATCTGTTCTGAGGGCAAAAGCCTTCAGGGCTGTCAGTTTGGCACTTTCTTCAACACTATGTTCACCCAGTGAAAGGGCTTTCAGCAAACTTAGTTCAAAGGAAAACTAGGTAATAGTGGTCTGGGTAGACTAGGCTAAAACAGTAGCTAAGAGAAATGACCGTGAATGACCAGATCCTCTTGCCCTCTCTTCTGAAATATGTATATAAGAACGGCCATACTGGGTCAGACCAAAGGTCCATCTAGCCTAGTATCCTGTCGTCCAACAGTGGCCAATGCCAGATTGCTTCAGAGGCAATGAACAGAGCAGGTAATCATCAAGTGATCCATCCCCTGTTGCTCATTCCCAGCTTCTGGCAAACAATGGGCACAGTTGAGATTTGTACTCTTTGCTCCTATCCTAGGCTTTCGAGAAGAGGTCGGACCATCATTTTCTCTATCCACCAGCCCCGCTATTCCATTTTCAAGCTCTTTGACAGCCTGACGTTGTTGGCTTTGGGAAAGGTGCTGTATCATGGTCCAGCAAAGCAAGCCCTGAACTATTTTAGTTCTATCGGTAAGTCTGCAGTGCAAATGCAATAATGCTAATCCCTATTATATTTAAGTGCTTACGTCTCAAAACACGGCAAGAGATAAGGTAACAAATTATTTTAATTGCTTAGTGTCTGATCCTTAATAGCAATGGATCAGCTCCAGCTACATTTAGCCCATTGCTGCATTTTCTAGACACAAAAAGCAGCCCCATGTTTCCAGTCTGAATGAGTTTTATGTAGATTAATAAAAGCAAAAAAACAAAAGTAAGGTCTCCATGAGAGCTCAGGGTATATCCCCTTGTGGGCTCATTGTATCCAATCTGCCTCGCAAAATGATGGCCGACAGCAGGCTCCCAGACACTTAGAAGCTCAGTAAACAAATGACAAGGTCACTACAGTTAGGTGGCTATGTGCATCCCAGGCAGGGTTATCTCAATGGGTCTCACGCTGAGGTCTTTGGACCACTGGGGATCTGGGTGCAGGGTCCGCAGGTCTGAAGGCTGCTGAGAAGGTGGGGAGACTGGCAGGGAAGATCATGTTCAAGAGGGTATTTCTTACAAAGGGTGAAAAGCACTGTGGTTGGTGCCTATGTAACCCACACACCTCCTGGGTGTGGTGTTCTGTCCCATCTATTGGCACCAAGATCACTTGGAGAGAGAGAGATTAATGAGTCTGCTCTACAACCTTTGCTAAGGGCCATGTGGCTTTTAGCTCATGCAGTAGAGGCTCATGCATTTAGCTCCAGAGGTCCCAGGTTCGATACCCACACACCGACGGCCAGGGTCTGTCGGTGTTACACCTACACCTGTGTTAGCAGGGTAATGACTACACAGTGGGAACCCTGCTTCTGTGGATAATGGAGAGTGTTTTGTGGACTCCTGGGTTCTATTCCTCTCTCTGTCACTGTGCTGTAACCTTACGTTCTGCCCTGTCACTCTTCCTCCCTCCGTGCTCAGGAGCACACTTCATTGTGTGGGTGCACAGCTTACTCCTCTCTGGCCAGTGAGTGGCGGGGGACAGATGACCAGTGTTATTGTGTCTCCTCAGCCCCTCAGTTCCCTTCTCACCCACCCACTCACTTGCCACAGGCACCGCTGGCCGAGCAGCCCTGCTCTCCTGACCTGTGGCCAGAGTCCCCAGCAGAGCAGAGGCGACATGGAGGGGCCTTATTGCTCCACAGGCCAAGTAGGTACCATGACAGTCTAGCCCTGCAGAGCACTGGAGATACCTTGAGCTTGATTTTCAGAAAGGCCGAGCACCCACATCTCAGTTCAAGGCAGAGGGAGCTGCAGGTATAGTTAGTCCCAAGGTGTCTCTAGTTAAACACCCAAAACCAATGCAGACTTGTCAGAATTGTGGACTTAACCTATGGATATGCCTCAGTTTCCCCACCTGTAAAACAAGGGGTAATCCTCCCTCCCAGCAGCGGTGCTGTGGTTAGTCAGTGCTTCCAAAGCACCCCAAGAGGCTTGTGTGAAAGAGGCTGGGGGAGGGTGGAGTGTTCTTATAACTGGTCATTACCAAGCAGTGTTCTGTCTAAAACATGAATGTGTTCTGCTTGTTATCATTACAGGGTTTCAATGCGAGCCCTTCAACAACCCGGCTGACTTCTTCCTCGACGTGATAAACGGTGACTCCACCGCTGTGGCCGCAAGCAGAGGTGATCAGAGTAGCCTGGACAATGGAGGGACTGGAGGAGGTGAGCCAGTGAATGAGACAGCAGGCCTTGGCCAGATTGCAGGGGAAGTTGCAGGCAGTGAGGGTAGATTTTTGTTTTGTTGTTTTCTCCTAGTGAATGGGCATTTTGTTGTATTTTCCTACTCGTACTTTGCCCTCACATATAGCACCTTTCAGCAGGAGCCGTCAGGCTCTCAAAATGCTTTGAAAAGGTGCCTTTGTGCTGTCAACCCTCTTTTACAGTGGGCAAAAATTGAGGCATGGAGTTGTGGGAAGTGACTTGCCCGTGGTCACCCAGATAACTGGTAGCAGAGGCAAACTAAAACTCAAGCCCAAGCAGAATTCTGACCCTGAAAAGGGAGCAGTGCCACAGATTCCCTGAAATTCATTAGAGATGTTGGTAATTGCTGTTGGTTTTATGTGGCAGGTGCTCAGATAGTATGGTGATGGGCAGCAGTGTAAAACTCTGAGACAGCCAGATAGCTGGGAGCAGGACCCAGACATCCTGATTCCTAATCCTATGCTCTAACCACTAGAAAACAGTGCTTGTCCTTCAAGGAAGCAACATACACAAACCAGCCAGCATTGATTTATGATCAAACACTGTCTTTTTCTGTAGCCGTGTATGCATATGCAGTGTGCAGCACTGTGTAATACAACAGGTCTGTTGTATGGCCAGACAGCGAAAGCCCTGTTGCACAGAATCTCTCTGTAGAGGGTGCACACTCGCGCTCCTCCACCCAGTGAAGAAGGTGCCGGCCACCTTTAAAGCAGTTGGGTAGCTAGAGTGCTGTCACTTGGGCCCAGATTCTCAAAGGGATTTAGGCTCTTAACACCTACTGATTCATTACATTGAGAGTTAGGCACCTAAATCCCTTTGAAGACCTGGGCCCTGGTCTGCAATGCCGGCCAGCAGTCTCTTTAGTGGGCTCCATGAATAAGGAACCTGGAGCAAACCCAATGGGGAGCTCCAACATTGACTCCAAATCCTAGTCAGCTAAAGATTTCACAGGTTCCTCATGATCAGGGGTTGCATTAGTGAGATCCCACTGAGCCAGCGGTACTGGGTTTAAGATGGGAGACTGGACCAGTCATGCTGAGTCCTGTCTTGGGCGCTTTACTCTAGGGGTAATCGGTGATGAAGAGCAGAATGCGGACAGGAGCGTAGTGGAAACTCTGCACCAGCAGTATCTGAACTCCAGCCAGTATCGGGACACAAGAGAAGAGCTGAAGAAAGTGGAGCTCAGCCAGCAGAATGAGCAGGGGAAGTCAAGGCACGTGAATGAGGTCACATATGCAAATGGCTTCTTCACCCAGCTCTACTGGGTGTCCAAGCGTGCCATCAAAAACCTCATCAGAAACCCCCAGGCGTCTGTGGCACAGGTGAGACACTGCTGCTGAGCAGGACCACTCCAGTCTCACTCTGCAGTGGTCCTATCAGGCTCCTTGCTGTGGTATCGCCGTCCCCGCTAGATCACTTGTTTGAATCCAGCCCTGGTCAGCAGGGGCAAGAAATCGTGACTGCCTGATGGCTGGCTGGTGACCTATGTGAAACTCCAGGTCTTTAGTAAACATCGCAGCAGACCCCCTGGCTGGCTGGCTGAGCTGAATGGCAGGTAAACGCCAGCAGTCAATGACAGTGCCTCTGAAGCAAGGCAGAAACAGGGGAGGAACTGGGACTCCTTGCGGTGTCTCCTAAGCACAATGTCTTTGCTCCATACAGATTACACAGCCCTGAATGACAGGGACTGTAATTAAAAGCACTATTTAACCCTAAACAAATGAGCAGCAAGCAGGATTCAGCACAGGGAGACAGTGGGCTGAGTTCTTCTCAGAACACTCCTGTGACCCCATAGCCATCTCTAGCCCACATGTCCATCAAGAAACAGAATTTCACATGGGCTACTGAATGACTTTTGCTCCCTGCTGACCAGGACTGGAGTCCAATCAGTGATCTTAAAGCAGAGGACTCCAAATCCCATTATGTCAATCGATATTTATAAAGCACCTGTCAAAATAGGGCTGGAATTTTCCAGGAACCTAAGGGAACTAGGCACCCTTCTTAGACAATGGGCACTCAACCAACTTAGGCACCATTAAAGATCCGAGCCTTAGTTCTGTACAAGTACAGTGACCGTGGCAGGGAAATGGTCAGTTCTCCATCCCACTGGGGATGTAGTCACTGCCTTGAATTTTGAGTGTGCTGTTAATTCTCTGCCCTGTTTAGGGTTAATGTTACTTTGGAGCACGTGATTCTGTTTCTTTGGGGAGGGGTGTGGCCAGGGCTTTTACGCTTGTCCTGGGGATAACTGATGGGAATTTGGCCCAGTATCTTTGTACCCAAACACTGGCCGAAAACGTCAGAGACAAATGTGAATTTTGGGCCCTGTACGTGGCTCTAATGACTTGTGTTTTATCCGATGACTCCTCCCTATTCTTTCCTTTGCACAATTCCTTTTTCTTTGCACCTCCAGATTGCAGTGACCATCATCCTAGCCCTGATTGTGGGGGCCATCTTTTTCAGAGTAAAACTAGACCAAAGTGGCATTCAGAATCGGTAAGGCTTGAAGTAGGGTCAATCTCTGCTACATTTCAGCAGCAGGGAGGCATCGGGTCCCTGGGCTACATTCAGATCCAGGAGGGGTGAACAGGGTTTGACATCCTAGCTTTTGGTGCCCGAGGTCAGGCATTACTGTAGTTCCTGAAGCAGCAGCTGTGCCATCAGCCCCAGGAGTATTCCCACATGGAATATGAAGGAAACAAGAAGAGACAGGCACAGCCACAGGTGGTATCAGTTACGTATCTGATATCTCCTATACGCAATGTTGGTCCAATAACATATATTACATACCCACCTTGTCTCTCTGATACCTCCTGTGTCAGGGAACTGTACTGTATTGGCAGGGGAATGCCTTGATGATATAATAGGCTTCTGGAGTCTCTAGCGCTATGATCCTGGATAAGGTTTCTGGTATTGGAGAATTTGGCCTGTGCCTTGGTCTTCAACTATTTTGATTTGTATTCCAGGGTTGGATCCTTGTTTTTTATAACCACAAACCAGTGCTTTTCCAGTGTATCAGCGATCGAGCTGTTTATAAAGGACAAGAAATTGTTTGTGTAAGTAGCAGCCCTCCCACAACAATTTCTTTATCAGAATTTAGGACGGAGGGTGGGAATTTTGACAGACTACCTGAAACGAGTTTCACCTGCCAGGACCTGACTTTGAGGCATTGCTTCTTCTCTGCAACCTCTGTTGCTATCAAAGATCGTGCCACTGAAATAGGGACCCTGCTCTGTTTTAGGAACCTGGGATGGTACAGAGGGAACATAGAGCCCAAGCTAAGTGGAGGGGGGACAGAATTTGGGGAAGCTGCACAGGAGTGCTCAAGAGGTAGAGATAAGACAACCCATAATCAGGGGCACCAGAATGGAGGGCCCAAGGCCCTCATACTTTTTGACCAGGCCTGGCCCACTGCCACTGCTCTTCCCCCTGAGGCCCTGCCTCCTAGGCAGGCCAGGAGCTGGAGCGTGGCCCAGGTAAGAGCAGTCCTGGGGAGTCACAGACCCTCCACCTGCTGAGGGGGAGGGGGGCAAGAGCAGCCCCTGGCCTGCGTCCCCACCCTCTGGGCCCCAGGGCAGGTGGATGGTCCACAGCCCCCCACAGCTGCCCACGCGACTCTTACAATGGCCAGGCTGCAGCTCTTCAGCCCCTGAGGCTCTGCCCCCAGGCCAGGCTGGAAGCTGGAGCTGGATCGGAGTAAGAGCCGCACAGGCAGCTATGGGAATCCACGGACCCTCCACCTGCCCCGGACATGGGCCAGAAGCTGCTCTCGGGCCCCTCCACTCTGGGCATGCGGAGGAGCGCAGGCTCCCCAGGCAGGCTCTGGCTTCCAGCTTGGCCAGGGGACAGGGCCCCGGGGGAAAGAGGGAGCTGGGCCTTGTGCCCCCCCCCCGCCACTTTTAGGCAGAATCCATCACCCCTGCCCATAATGGCTTAGCATTGAGGCCCAGCCCTGTAAGGACGCCAGAACTGTGAGCCTGGTGATCCCACATACATAGATAGGAAATAGGCCTCAAAGAATAGCTTCCACATCAGTGGGCATCAGATCCTTGGCCCCTGTGAAGTCCCCTTTGCATCACAGCAGTAATGCAAATGTGGTTTAAAGCTGCCCCTAAAGGAATCTCTCTCTGAAATGCAACTGTAACGCACTGGAAAGTGTATGTTACAGGTCCCCTTCTGTGCCTATCCACACAGGATATGAGTTGTTACAGCCCTCAGCTACAGCGTCTTGGGTCAAGCTGTAGTAACTCCTACTTTTAGCTCTGAAGCTCACTTGATCAATCCCTGCTGTGTTGACAAGATGACAGCTGTCACATAACTACCTCTTAAAAGTGTATGCAGTGCCTCCATAGGGTGCTGGCATGATAGCCTCTGGAGACTGGATGCATCTGCCTCTTCCCCACTACAGCCTCAGCAGCAGCACTGCCAGCTTCCCTCAGGTTGATTTCTGCCAGCGCTGTGCCCTAGAAAGCACTCTAGGGATGAGGGCCTGTCAGAGTTCAGCCTCCACAGCTTAATCATTGCTTGGCCTGTCTACAAAGACTGCCAGCGCAGGCTCCTGTTAGTGCTAGTGGTGACCGGGGCACCTTGGCCCTGGTAACTGACCTGAGACCAGCTCATTTCACCTGGCCCAGCAAACAGCAAATGACTTGTGGTTACGACCTGGGCTGGATTTGAGTCAGTGGCCTAGAAGTGAGTCCCAATTTTTGAGCCTTCCACTTCCGCTTGGAAACAGATTTTCAGAGTTAGCCAGGGAAACTTTCAAATCAATCCTCTTCCAGTGAGAACCAGCCTTTGGCCTTCCACCTGTGCAATGTTCAGGACCATTCCCTGTGGGGGTGGGGGGCTTTTTCAGCATAGTAAGGCTTTAGACTGCTATAGTGCCTTCCACTCAGGGATCTCAAAACCCTTTACAGAGCATAAGGAAGCTCTTATGACAGCCCTGTAGGGGCAGATCAGTATCGTTCCCCCCCCCCCGCCAAACTTTATGGATTGGGAAACTGAGGCACAGAGCAGGTAAGCAACTTACCCAAGGTTGGATAGTGAGTCAGTGGCAGAGCTAAGAATAGAACCCAGTTATCCTGACATTACAGATGTCTTTTTAATAATTAACAGATAGACATTGCTCATTGTAGTTCTCATCCATATTGATAACCTCTAAACATGTACAATAATCTGTGTTCCTGTCTTCACAGCCATCAGTATACCAGTGGGTACTACCGAGTGTCCGCATACTTCTTTGCCTTGTTGATTGGAGACCTTTTGCCCATGAGAACTGTTCCAGTCATTCTCTTTTCATGCATAAGTTACTGGATGATTGGTAAAGAATTGATACGTTCACTTAACCGCCCTTCCTCCCCTCCCTTGTTCTTGCAGAAACACCTTCGATGTCTTGAATCTGAGTCGTCCATGCTTAATTTCTACAGCTAAGCCACACAAATGTTTTTTTTAAAAAGGGGGAGGTAGTGCCTCCAGGGTCCCTGCACAGACTGAACTGTGCGAGTGTTTGGAGGCTGTTAAATGCAGTCTGATGTACAGAAACAATTCATGGGGTGAAATCTAGCTGGAAGTCACGCTAGAAAAGGGCCAGCCGGCAGCAGGAATGCAGGGTGAAGCTGGCTACCGACTCCCAGTAAATTTACTTTTCAGTTTTCATCTCCTGAATTCTTGGCCATCTGGCTTCTGCTTCATTGCAGCCAACTCTAAACCCTGTTGCTCCTCGCCTAAGCAAGTGCCTTGCTACCATGGACAGGGATCCAAGAGCAGCTGCCCAGGTTTTGTAACCCAGGCATTCACCGGACCTGTCTGTCTCTTGCTGTTTTGACAGGCTATCAGGCAGTAGCAGGACGGTTCTTTTTCTTCATACTGACACTGGTGCTAGTGTCCTACACAGCCACGGCCATGTCTCTGGCTATCAGTGCTGGGATGAATGTAGTGGCCATTGCCAATCTGCTTATCACTCTTTGCTTTGTCTTCATGCTTGTGAGTATTGTGTGCGTGGCTGGGGGGAGAGGGGGTTGCATGGAAGGCAGATCTGGATGGATTGAGCACTAATGGAAGTGAGGGATTGCTAGGGGTGGGGAAGCTCTGACAGTCTTGGCCCTTGCCCGTACACAGTGCACCTCAGTCCTGACCTCCAGCACCCCCTGTCACTGCAGTCCGAGATCACACATACAACTCTACCAATGCATGTTACTTCTGCCTTGCAGCTCCCACACAGCTATTCCAGTCCTAGACTTCCACCTAATGCTGCCAAATGCCCATGGGCCTCAGCACTGACCTGCAGTACCCCTTGCCCACGTTGTCAGGCCCAACATAGCTCTGCCTGTGAACCACTCTCCTACTGCACCCTCTGCTATTCCCATCCTGTCCTGCATCCAGTGTACCGCATCCTAACCTGCTGCTGCACCTTTAGTTATTCCAGTCCTGGTCTACAATGCACCTTAACCCTGACCTGCAATGCTCCCTGCTTGTCTAGTCCCAAGCACACCATACCAGTGCAATTCTGCTGACCCACAACTTCACCTGCTATTCCAGTTCTGGCCCATCAAATAGCCCTACCAGTGCACACAGTCAATAGCCTTCCTTCTGGCAAAGAAAGTTGCCGAGGCTCATGGCTCTGTGACGTGAGCATGTCCGTAACGAGGATTGGGCTGAGAGAACCAGGCTCCTTTTACTGCTTGCCAGGGGCCATATTCACCAGTGGCATTAGTGGGTGCAGCTCCTCCAAAGCCTGCAAAGGCAAGCCTGCTTCCACCAAAATTCTGTGTCTCAAATAGAAGTAAATGTTTTCATGATTTCTTTAACAACCTCAGTCAAGGAAGTTTAAAAACAAACCCCTTTTCCCTGCACTGCAGGCAGCCTGGACAAACAGTATCGTGCCAGGTCATGGGGAAAAGACCTTGAAATAAGCTGTAAAGGGATGTATTTTGTTGTGCTGAATGCTGCACGTAGTCTGAGGAATGGGGATGTTCACCCCCCCATTTATGCTTTGGCTCTGGTTTGCTTTTGGCTTTCGCCATTAACTTGTTTCTTCCTTGAATACATTTCTTCAAGGCTTGGGTGAGTTTAAGGTGGGGGTGATGGGTTTTTAACTCCTGTAGTTCTACAGGTACAGCCTGAAGAGTGGGTGCAGTTTGATTGGCATACAGGTGCCGTTTTCCCAGGTGGGAAGGGGAATAACCAGTATAAGGCACACTTTTACCAGTACATGTGCATCCACCCTAGGGGGAGCAGTGTTTCTTTAACTGTACTGGTATAGTGAAAGTGACGCAACTCTTGTGTTGCCAAGGCCTAAAAGTGTATGGATCTGTGTCAGTGCGTGAACGCATGACAGCCTCTTTCCTTCTGTCATTTCAGCTCTTTTCTGGCCTGTTGGTGAACCTTCCTTCTGTCATGGGATGGCTGAACTGGCTCAAATACTTCAGCATCCCCAGATACGGCCTCACAGTGAGTAGAAAATGTTATTCTGAAATGAATAAGGTGCTCAGGGTGTCACCTTCTGGAGAGTTTTTTAAGGTGAATAAAATTATTTTGAAGTAATTGCTTAGGACTCTTTTTAAAATAATTTTATGAGTTAATATATTCTCATGAAAGGTGTTGGGTTGGAAGCTCTAGGGAATGAACTCCTCTACTGAGCCACAAAATAGGTACCACCTGGGCAGCAGCAAGGCAAATCACCCTATCCTGCCACCCACCCATGGGCTTAGCCCCTAGCTTGGAGAGACCATCTCTATAGGTGAGAGGGCAGTTCAGTAGTCCATGGCTTGATAGCAGAGATTGCCAGCGCAGTGACCACTGTGTGGTGGCACTATATGTGATGTGGACATCTATCTATGTTGTTTGTATGGCGCCCATTACCACAGTGTCTGAGCACCTCACCATCTTTAATGAATTTTCCATGGGAGGCAGGGCAGTGGTACCATCCCATGCTAGTGCCCTAGTCACCACACCATCTTTTCTTCCACCAGGACCAAGCTGGGACACCCAGCCCTGTTCACGTAGAACCTCAGACACCTTCTCAGAAAGCAACAGCTAAGGTTTTCAAAGGCAATGAGTGATCTTTGGCCCCTCAGTTTGGGTACTTAACGTGAGACACCTGAAGGGAGCCTGACTTTCAGAGGGCGGGTGCCCAGCACTTTGTGGTATCTCACATCAGGTACCCAGAATCACTAGCCACCCTTCAAAATCTTGGCCGTTCCAGCTGAACATTACCTATTTAAATCGGATTTGAACTAGCGAGCCGAGCTGAGAAGCAAACTCTGCATGTTTGCCAGGCGTAATTAGCCACAGGGAAGAGAAACACCCAATAGCTTTTCACCCAAAACTGAATATCCTTCCTGCATCATCAGGCGTCGCTTAGGGCAATAATAACGCTCTGTCATCCCAGTCTATCGTGCTGGTTGCTAGAATGGCTCCCTTGCTTTGTTTCAGTAACTTAACATTTTTTCCCCCCTGAGGATAGGTTTTTTGACCTGTTGATCAACCCCCAGCCAGAAGGATCAGACATTGCTCTTCTACTGGTCCCTGTCCAACTTAGATGGCTCTACCAGGAGTCGAAATCTCCCACTGGCCTAACTCTCAAGGTCATTGGGACACACAGCACTTCTCACTTCATCAGGGTGCAGCACCTAGGAAATGATTTCACCCAAAGCTGAATGTTTACTCAGCACAGCATCCGATGAAGTGAGCTGTAGCTCACGAAAGCTTATGCTCAAATAAATTGGTTAGTCTCTAAGGTGCCACAAGTACTCCTTTTCTTTTTGCGAATACAGACTAACACAGCTGTTACTCTGAAATCAGCACAGTAGGATGATGTTGCAGTATTTTACTACATCATGATGTCTGCTTTCCTCCACAGGCCCTGCAAGTCAATGAGTTTAGAGACCTTTACTTCTGTGGTGAGAAGCCCCAGAATATTACTGCGTCCTCTGGGGATGCAGCTGATTGCTCCCCAAATGCTACACAATTTGGAAAAACGTAAGTCTCTGGCTTACAACAGTTCTTGGGCCTCAGTGGGAATGAATTTTCTGAGGGTGGAGTTTTTACAGCCATTAGCTTGGGGTCACTATACTGCTCATGAAAGTAGATGCTCATCAGCCGCTTTCTCAAGGAAGCATCGCAGGACACCCACCTCAGCAGATTTTGGGGGGGCTCGTGTCTGAGCAATTTTAGCAAATATACTGTAGTTCAGGGGGGAACTGTAGGCTGCGGGCCTGGAACCCCAGCCTGGGAAGGACGAACAACAACACATCCAAACGAACTTTGCCTATCTGAAATTTAGTTTTGGTAGCCTGCCATGGGTTATCTTTATAAAGAATATTTTTTTTAAAAATCCTCATGTTTTCCCATAATGGGGTATATCAACAACAAAAGAGAGGCTGTGGAGTTGTCATGAGAGGTTAAAAAGTTCCCATCTGAGATGGTTTAGGAAGAATGAAATCATCCCCGGCATGATGCAGAAGCACAGGCTGTATGACCTCATGGTAGGACACTTCAACCCAAATGAGTCAGAGTATAAAAACAGGTTTCAGAGGAACAGCTGTGTTAGTCTGTATTCGCAAAAAGAAAAGGAGTACTTGTGGCACCTTAGAGACTACAGATAAATTGGTTAGTCTCTAAGGTGCCACAAGTACTCCTTTTCTTTTAGAGTATAAAAAGATAAGGTACCAGCTTAAACTGTTTTAACCCTGGATACAGTGAGATGTGACGGTTAAAGGGTCACTGTGCTGACATATTAGGTATTGCTGGTACTCTGAAGCCAATAAAGGAGCCAAAGTGGTCTAGAGGATAGGAAAAGTGGGAGTCAGAAGCCCTGGGGTTGTATCCCAGCTCTGCTACTGACCCACTGTGTGATTTTGGATAAGCCTCAGTGTCTCTGTTTGGGGAGAAAATGTCTCTGCAGAACAGAAATAACAGTAGCCACCTTCGCAAAGCACTTGGAGATCTCTGGCAGAACATGCTAAGTATCACTATTAACGTCTGTCCCATGTCCCCCTGCAGGTGTTATGGTGAAACATATCTGTTAAGCCAAGGGATTGCATCTACCAACTGGGCCATGTGGGAAAACATAGTGGCTCTGGGCTGCATGGCTACCATCTTCCTCCTGATAGCCTATGGGAAACTTCGATTCATGAAGAAGTTCACCTAGCCTCACCCATTACATTACTCTGTGATTTACCTCAGGACTTGAAACTGCAAAGTTTGTCAGGCCCACTGAAGACCAATGAAAGATTCAGTGGGCATCGGCTCAAGCCCGATGTTTCTTGCACTTGACAAGTGGCCACATTTTGCACATCTATTATGTGATCATATGAGTAACATTTTTTACCTTGTCTATTGTTGAATTGCTGGCTATTTTATTTGTAAGGAATTGTTAGAAAATCATGTTCTCTTACACACTCTAATTTATATAACTTCATTATTCTGTGGCCACTGTCTGCAGTATCTCAGGAAAACATATTTAAACATATAAATTAATGTGAACCAGATTTCATTTTGGCAATCACCTTTATTCTGCCTATCATGGGTATATAATGACTGTTTTTCTGCACTGGTATCGGGTTTTTACTAGTGCCTATTGGATCACAAAAGAGGCCTGTTCTATGAGGCGCTTCAAGGTTTAAGACTAGAAAACATTTTAAATTGCCTTGCTTTGCAAACTGGGCATGGTGCAGATTTTATCTCTAGTAGCATCATAACGTCAGAAGCTTTCCCCATACCAAAATCAGCTCTCCTACCACAAGGTAAAGAAGAAAGATCAGCTATGTAGGACCTGCCAAACCCAAACAGGCTCATGGTCAACTAGTGTGGTCTTTCTCAAGCAGTGGGTCTCAACCTCACAGGGGCGCAGAGTGTGCTGTGGAATTTAACATTGCAGAATCGAAATTTTTCAACAATAAACAAATATTATGCCTAATTCTATACATACAGTGAATGGCTGCAACCAGTAAGTCATGTACAGCGAAGGTCACCACAGCAGCACTAAAGATTCTGCAGTTATTTCTTATTCTCAGTACAGGGAAAGAGTACAAAATCTGATACCTCTATGTGATATGTTGGTGAATGTTTATTTTATAGAGGGAACCGCAGTCTGAGTGTATCTTCACGCACCGTTAACTCCTCTTAAGTGAGCCTAGCTCCACTGGAGCAGACGTGCGGCCAAACAACACTTGAGCAGCACAGCATGATTAGGTTGGCAGCACAGAAAAGCTGCATTACTGGCTCCAATGCCCACAGCAGTGGAGCTTCAACCCACCCCCCGGGCCAAGCTAGCTTGAGTATAAAGCACCACTTCACTTGATCTACAGACTTTTGTGTGTGGGCCTGACTCAGGTTAAAGGCAACACTGGAGTTACAGCTCGAGCTAGCGCTGCAGCAAAGACAACCCTTACTGTCCTGAAGATAAGCATGTGCAAGTCATCTGTGGCAGGCAGAGAGCACTTATCAAGATCACAGTTGAGCCCAGCCATGCTATCACCACAAAACATGTGTGCTTCTGTTTTTCACTATCAGATAAGGAAGGGCCCCTGCTAGATCTGAAATCACAATTCCTGGCTTTTCACTTCCTCAGCAGCTTTGAATTGTTCGTACAAATGTTGGTGTTGACTAGGTCAGTTTAAATAACTAAACAATGTTGTCTGATACTTAGAATTGTTTGTGATTAGTCTTCTTGTTTTTAAAGTAATTATTAAAACATTTTTAAATGTGTTGTTTGCTAGAAAAAGACACTTTTTGGTATTACACGGCCATTAATTAACATATCCATAGCTATTTATATTACTGCCTGGCCCTGAGATCAGTAATTGTGCTAGGTGCTGTACAGACATATTAAGAAAGTCTCAATAACCAGGTAGAAAAAGGGCAGCAGAGCCTGCTTAGTAATGGTTATAAATTGGTTAGTCTCTAAGGTGCCACAAGTACTCCTTTTCTTTTTGCGAATACAGACTAACACAGCTGCTTCTCTGAAACATCACCAGGTGTCACATCAACTCCGACTCTATCGAAGCCGGGCATTAGGGCACCACCAGGCTCTGTTGCAGTGGCGATCTTTGAAGGAACACACCAGCAGTGTGGTTCCCTCAGCAGCATGAGGTGGAGCTTTCTTCAGGGTGAGCCCCATAGGGAATGGAAATAAAGCTTTTGGTCATTTTAAAATGATCTGAGCGGCTCCTGGGTCCCCTGGAAAGAGCCTGATTGACAGTGCTGGAGCCGGAGCCCTCTGTCCATAGACACAGCAAAGGCCATGGGCGAAAGGCTGCGTCCACACTGGGCTACCCCCAGCCCCTCTCAGCTCTGCACCACAGGGGCACCTCAGAGCGAGAGAGGGCCGGCCGCTCTGCCAAGGCTGCCAGCAAGGGGCGAATGCGGATGGCCCCGCTGGGGCCTGGAGCAGGGGTGTCACGCGGTTAGCAGCAGCGGTGACGCATCAGGGGGCTGCCTTATCCACCCCCGCCACACCAGAGGCCACGGCCGCCACCTGACTCCCCGCCCAGGCTAACCACGTGCGCAGAGGGACGTGTGACAGCCGTGTCTGTGCGCAAGCGCCACGTTCCCGCGCCTGCGCAGTAAGGAGCAGGGGGCGGGGCCGCGCTCGCCGAGTTCGGGGGAACGCGGAAGCGGCTGGGTTTTGCCTACTGGAGGGGGGCCTGTCGCTATGGCAACCGCTGCCGCTGCCGAGGGTCCGCTGGAGGCCCGGGTGCAAGTAGCCAAACGTAAGAGAGAGGCTCGGGAGGGAGCCTGAGACCCGGGCCCGAGCCCCAGCCCCCTCCCCGACCTGAGACCCCATCCCAAGCTGGGGGCCTGGAGCCGTGCCCCCCCCCCGAGTGCCGCGCTGCTCATGTGCCCCCACCTCCCACGGGCTGGCCTCTGGCTCCTGAGCGGGAGCCGCTAGCAGGCTGGCGCTGTTGCCCTAGGAGGGGTCTCAGGGGTTCGGCCCTGCCCCAGGAGACTCTGTAGAGTTGGGGTCTGGTCCCCTCACACGCCCCAGGCTACGAGAGGGGCCGGCGCGCCCATCCCAAAGGGACCCGCACTTGTCTGTTGACCATCGTGACCGCTGGGGCGGGAACGGGGCACGGCCTGAGCTCTTAGTTCCCCCATCACCTGTTGGCAGGTGTGAGCCAACCGGGTGGCATCGCTCTGTGGCCAAAAGAGCAGGGTCTCCATCCCCTAACCAAGCAGGGGTTGTTTCAGCAGTGACGGGCTGGGGTGCTGGCTTGGCTGATTGCCCTTCACAAGGCTGAGTTAGTCTTTTTCCCCCACACACCGCGCTCCCCACTGTCATACACAACGTTAAACCTTCCAGAAGTGGGTGATGGCACCTGTCTTCTGTTATAGGCAGCTGGTGCCATTTCTCTTTCTGTCTCACATGTGACTTGCTACAGCCTTTATTTGGCAAATATTCTTTGCTTACAATGACACTGAAGTGAGAAGAATGGAGCAGCAACAGGGAGAGGAAAATGTCTTCACTTAGGTGGGAAGCCTATGGCTTTGTCATGAAAAGCTTTTCCAGGCTAATAAGACTATCACAGTTCTTCGCAAAAGGAACTGATGCTTACTAACCATTTTTCAGAGTAACAGCTGTGTTAGTCTGTATTCGCAAAAAGAAAAGGAGTACTTGTGGCACCTTAGAGACTAACCAATTTATTTGAGCATAAACTTTCGTGAGCTACACAAGTACTCCTTTTCTTTTTCCTAACCATTTATATAGCACACAAATTATCATCACGCTATTCCAAACATAGAGTAAGTCTGGTTCACTGCTCCAGAATGCATATTGTTTATGGGCTTGATCCTGCAGTATGCCAAGCTCTTCCAGGAGTTGCTAAGTGCCCTCAGCCCCTAGGTAAGTCAGTTGGAGTTATGGGTGCTTGGGCACTAGGGCACTGCCAGGCTCTGTTGCAGCCGTGATCAATTGTTGAAGGAACACAGCCAGCAGTGTGTTCAATCCAGTATCTCAGGATCAAGCCATGTAAAGAAAATAGAAGAAAATACAGAGCAGAAGAGAACTACTCAGATGAAGCAGTGGAGAGATTATTTGTGGGAAGAACAGGAGGAATGTTACAAAGAGGTTTGAAGGAGAAGAAAGAGTTTAGTGGACAGGACTGGGGGACTGTTGCAGCACCTTCTGAAGGGGACATAGGGAACAGTTCTCAATCAGTGATCAAAGATGGGAAAAAATGACAGTAGGCACAGCCAATAGAAATGATCAGACTCAAAGATCTTTCCTGAAATCATTGTCTTCACATCATTTAATTTTTGCCTTTGTAATAATAAGGGAAACTTACAGAGGCCTACCCCTGAATAGATAAAATATTTATTGATTTAAAATCAAGCTGTTAAATCAACTTTATGCAATTTTACAGATAACTTTGTGGGTTAATTGTTTATTAATCTAAAATGTACACCCCATGTTGAAAATAAATGTAACAAAAAGATGTGTGCTGTTTTTACTATCTTGTGTGTATTTCAGTATTTGACTACTTTCCCTTACCTCTGTACTGTTCATTTATAACCTGATTAGAGGATCCTGCTGTGGAGACAGCAGAGGAAGCTAAGGAACCAGCAGAAGCAGATATCAATGAGCTTTGTAAGGATATGTTCAACAAAATGGCCACTTACTTAACAGGTGAACTGACAGGTAAGGCAAACTGTGAAACTAACAAACCTGGCTAGCATAGAGATAAACTGTTTAAAAAAAGAAATACTTTGCTTAGCATTTTAGGGCTTGTCTACACAGGGATACTCAGGAAAAGTAATCCAAATTAATTAAAGGTGTGAATTAAAAATGGATTAGTTAAACTGCGTTCAGCTCCTGCGTGGGCAGAATTAAAGTGGCTTTAATATAATTTAAGGGTTTTATGTACACAAGCCATTAGATTATGGCAACCTGGGGTGTGAATCCACCCTGCACTAGCCTGCCCCAGTCTAACTGTCCAAATGCACCCTGCTGATGTGCATTAATAGTTCATTAATGTGCTCTGAGCTAGTCCCATTTCAAAGAGGATGAGATCAAAGTGCTCTAGCGAACTGTTAACACATGTCAGCGGGGTCACATGGGCAGTTAGATGACTGCCACTTGGATCATATGTTAAGATAGAACATCAGAGCATCTGAATGTAAAGCTAAAGAGGGCCCCAGATTGATGTGACGTTTTATCTTTCAAAAAGTTTTTAGTGTGGTACTGAATCAGGTTAACTATTTCTTCTTCTGAGAGCTTGTCTATACGAACACTTAATTTGTGGCAAGGTGAGGTGTAAATCTATTTCGCTGTAGCCTGCCATGCACTAAGTGCCTGCATGGACACTGCTACCACGTGCTAAAAGTTCCCTAGTGTGCTTTAATCTATTCCCTAACTCTGTAAGCGTCTATACTAAAAGGTAGCTCCCACTGATGTAACTCGCCCACTTCACTGACTTAATAACTCCACCTCTGCGAGAGGCGTAGTGCTTAGGTCGATGTAGTTAGGTCGAAGCAGTGTCAGTGTAGACACTGCATTGCTTACATTGACTGTTGCTGCCTTTCAGAAGCCATCCCACAATGCCTCATGCTGACAGTCAAATCGGTACAAGCGCTCCTGGTGAGGACGCACACTGCCAACACAAGGTGTGTAGTGTGGACATGCAAATTACTGTGGTGGCTGTACGTTGACATAACTTAGGTCCACTTAATATTGTAATGTAGACTTGCCCTAAGTGTTCACATAGACAAACCCCCAGTGGGGAGGGAACAGATGTAGAGCAAGAGGGACCTGTAAACATGTTGCATCTTCATGACTGGACCAAAGCTGACTTTGGAACTGAGCTGGGCTGCCATTCTCCTGTGACAAGTATAACTCACCTCCATAGGTGAGGGAAGTAAAGGCCATGTAATGGAACCACAGCTGTCCCCTTTAAGAACAGCAGGAAGCTGCAGCAAAGACTACATGGGAAGGGCTCCCCTGCAGGAAAGATTGAAGTCAAGGAGGTCACCCCCAACTAGGAGTAGCCTGCTAAGGCAGGAGAAAGACCCTGAGACCAGGGGAGTTTGGAAGTCAAAGCTAGAAGGCTGAGCTCCAGACAGATAAAGCCTGAGAGTGGTCATTGAATGGGGACCCTGCTCCAGGAAAGAGGGTTGGGGATTCCCTAGCTGAGGGGAAGAGAGACACTGAACTGGGGTTGGGGCCTGGAGTGCCAGTGTGTACCAAGGGGACTGAATAAATTGGACTCAAGAAGGGGAGCGCTTACACTACCTTTGGACTAGGGCTGTGGAGTTTATTTAAGAGGCCCCTGAAGCAGGAGTGACAGAGACAGGTGCCATTAAATGATCTTTGACCACCAGGGGGTGTTTGGTTGGCAGCTCACCCTGTAATAGGGAACTCTACAGCTGCTCCACGTTATTGAATGGAACAAGTATTGTGTGTGTGCGCGGCAGAGCCAACATCCCGTGAAGCATGCTGAAATGGGTTACTGTTCTCATTAGCTGCAGTTGAGAGAACAGAAATTGCTGGTTCAGGGTGTTGGCTCTGTAGCAGCAGCAACTTTATGTAAATTGCATTTGTGCTAAAGTTGTTAAGCCACAAATAGCCTGGTGGCATGTTATTGGCAAGCCACCCATATTGTCCAAAGTACATCACATCAGCAGACTTTGAAAGAATCTCTGTCATTTCATACTGCTTGTGACCCTGACTCAGTAAGGCATTTAAACACCTCTGTCTATCTTAGGGACTTATCTGGCCCCCATTCCTGTAAGTATCTGAGCACCTCACTATTTTTTTGTATTTATCCTCCCAGGACCCATGTGAGGTTGGGTAGCTATTATCCCCATTTTGCAACTAGGGAATTGAAACAGAGCGAGACTAAGTGACTTGCCTAATGTCGTACAGGAAGTTTATGGCAGAGCAGAGACCCCAGTCCCGCGACTCCTAGGCTAATGCTCTAACTACTGGACCATCCTTCCTTTCTAATGGTGCTCTTTTGAATCAAAGACTATATGCAGACTGACAGAGGGAAGGTTAACACAGAAGTCTTACCTCTTACATTTTCCAACTTTTTCAGCTTAATGTTTCTCTCATTATTTTTCCCTACAAAAATGCAAAACCAAAAACAGTGTCTTAAGCTCTGATCCTGCAGGCTGTTGCATTCAGGCAGACCACCATGCCTGTATGAAGCCCCATTGACTTATGTGGGGCTCTACGTGGGCATAAGGTTCCTGCATGCAGATCAGCTTTCAGGATCAAGGCCTTTAGCTTTGTAAATAGAAGGTTTTGCCTTCCAGAACGATAGGTACTGTAGAAATGTATAAAATAAGTTCTTGTTTTTTACTGAATATGCTACACATTTATTCTTTAGTCCATTTGATATTTCAGTCCGCAAGATTTGATCCCCTCGTTTTTAGGGAGCATCTTGCTAAGAGCCGTATTATTGAATGAGATATTCTCAGCTATGTTCAGCTGTCACCTTGAACTCTTCAGCTCTGAACAGCACTTAGATTCCAAACTGTGCTAGTTGTTTTTATAAAGGTGTAAGTATTTTCTCTTTTTTCTAAAGCCACCAGTGAAGACTACAAACTCCTGGAAAACATGAACAAGCTGACTAGCTTGAAATATCTGGAAATGAAAGATATTGCTGTAAACATTAGTCGAAACCTGAAGGACCTAAATCAAAAATGTAAGTGAAAACGAGTCAGGAATGACTATAGTAAATGGATGTTACACTGTAAACGAAGCATCTAGGAGCCTATAGTTCAAACTCCTATTAATTTCTGAAGGAGAAAAAAGTCTGTAAAGGTTGTATGTGCCTAGAATATGTGATAAGTCTAGAATAATTTTCGTTTGAAGCTGATGGTTAAATGAGTGGAGCTCTCTGAATAGTACTCATCCTCCGCCCTTTGCTTTTGTGCGGGAGACGAAGGTTGGCTTTGTGATTAGTTAGCAGAAGTGAAGCCAGGAACCCTGGATTGTATTCCCAGCTCTGTCAGAGTCCCATTGTGGCATTGGGCAAGTTAGCGTCTGATCCAACTTAAAGTCAGTGGAAAGACTCCACTGACTTTGAGGGAGAGTTTGCTCAGGTCCATAAGGTTACTGTAGGAGGGCTTGTGGTACCCTTACTTCTGTGCTGCTGCTGACAGTGGTGCTGCCGTCAGAGATAGGCAGCTGGAGAGCGTCAGCTGCTGGCTGGGAGCCCAGCTCGGAAGGCAGAGTCGCCACCAGCAGCAGCGCATAAGTATGGATGGCATAGTATGGTTGTCATAAATATAAAGGGAAGGGTAACCACCTTTCAATATACAGTGCTATAAAATCCCTCCTGGCCAGAGGCAAAACCCTTTTACCTGTAAAGGGTTAAGAAGCGAAGGTAACCTCGCTGGCACTTGACCCAAAATGACCAATGCGGGGACAAGATACTTTCAAATCTGGAGGGGGGGGACAAAGGGTTTGTCTGTCTGTGTGATACCTTTGCCGGGAACAGATCAAGGATGCAATCCCTCCAACTCCTGTAAAGTTAGTAAGTAATCTAGCTAGAACATGCGTTAGGTTTTTCTTTGTTTTGGCTTGTAAATTCACTGTTCTGGCGGGAATGTGTATTCCTGTTTTTGTGTCTTTTTGTAACCTAAGGTTTTGCCTAGAGGGATTCTCTATGTTTTGAATCTGATTACGCTGTAAAGTATTTACCATCCTGATTTTACAGAGGTGATTCTTTTACCTTTCCTTTAAATAAAATTCTTCTTTTAAGAACCTGATGGATTTTTCATTGTTCTTAAGATCCAAGGGTTTGGGTCTGTGTTCACCTGTACCAATTGGTGAGGATATTATTATCAAGCCTTCCCCAGGAAAGGGGGTGTGGGGTTTGGGGGAATATTTTGGGGGAATAGGACTCCAAGTGGTCCTTTCCCTGTTCTTTGTCTAAAACACTTGGTGGTGGCAACATTTTATCTAATCCAAGGGCAAAGACTTTGTGCCTTGGGGAAGTTTTAACCTAAGCTGGTAGAAATAATCTTAGCAGGTCTTTCATGCGGGTCCCCACATCTGTACCCTAGAGTTCAGAGTGGGGAAGGAACCTTGACAATGGTATTGCCACCCTTACTTCTGTGCTGCTTCCTGCAGAGCTGGGCCCTCAGTCAGCAGCTGCCACTCTCTGGCCGCCCAGCTCTGAAGGCAGCAGCGCAGAAGTAAGGGTGACATGGTATGGCATTGCCACCCTTACTTCTGCCCTGCTGCTGGCGAGGCGCTGTCTTCAGAGCTGAGCGCCAGGGCAACAGCTGCCTCTCTCTGGCCGCCCAGCTCTGAAGGTTGTACAGAAGTAAGGGTGGTAATACCACAATTCCCCCTAAAATAACCTTGTGACACCCCCCCCCCCCCCCGCCGCAACTCCCTTTTGGGTCAGGACCCCCAATTTGCAAAACTCTGGTCTCCTCTGTTAAATCAGTATGTAGTATAGGGTAAAAGTACACAAAAGACCAGATTTCACAGACCGTAATGCGTTTTACGTGGCCGTAGCCGTGAATTTGGTAGGGCCCTAATCATTGTGAATGTCCTGGCCCAGGATCAGTGTTCCCTCTAATTTTTTACATCCTTGTCCGGAATGCATTTTGTTATGTGCACCAATATGGAGGTGATGTGTGACACATCACCTTCATATTGGTGCACATATCAAAATTCATGTGATGGGGGTGGGGCCAAGGAGTTTGGCGTGTGGGAGGGGGCTCAGAGCTGGGGCAGAGGGTTCGGGTGCGGGGTGGGTGAGGGTTTTGGCTGGAGTTGAAGGCTCCGGGGTGGGCTGGGGATGAGGGGCTCAGGGCTGGGGCAGAGGGTTGGTGTGCGAGGGGGGGCCGGGGATGGGGAGTTCGGGAGGGGGCAGAGGGTTGGAGTGCGTGGGGGGGCTCTGGGAAGGAGCCAGGGATGAGGAATTTGGGGTGGAGGCTGCCCAGGGGCTACAGTGGGGAGAGAGGACTCCTCCCAGCCCTCTCTCACCACAGCAGCTCGGAGCCGAGGGAGAGGCACCTCTCCCTGGCTGTGGCAGCTCCGACGGGGCGGGGCCAAGCCGAGGTAGGGGCTCCTCTCCCCTGACAAGTCTGGGACAGGTCTGTGTTGGGGGAGAGGTGCCTCTCCCACAGCCAGTCCAGGGCAGGTCTGCGCTGGGGCTGGCGGGGAGGGGTGCCTCTCCCTGCCCCAGCAGGTCTGCGCTGAGGTGCCTCTCCCTGCCGCAGCCCTGAGCCCCTGCGCAGGGCTTAAGAGGCAGCTGCGCAGCTTCGAGGGAACGTAGCTCAGGATATGTACTTACCTACCTTTGGAAAGACCTCATAATTTTTTTTTATTCAGTACCTGTTTCTGAAAGAGTGAAAGTTTCTTTCTAAGATTGGGATGACTTTCTAGGAAGTGTTAGTGGATCTTCAGAATCTGGGTTTGTGTAAATGTCAGTTATATACCTTCCATCACAGATACGGGTTATGTACACATGATCTTGTTTTCCAAACACCGTAAAGCTTTGCAATTCAACATCAATGCTGATAATGAATCAATCCTGCTTGATTACTGCTGAAAGCTGGAGATTTCTAGGATATATGTACAAAATGGGTGATAGCCCTTGTGCAGCTATCTGTCTTGTACACCATTTATAAAGCTATATACTATAGATAATAAAATGCCTGTACAGTGAGTGAAGTAAATAGGTTTTTCTTTCATTCTCATAACTAGGCTACATACTCAGTATATTTGCATTCAGCTGATTAGAAACCAATTGAGAATTTAAAAAGATACTTGTATTGATTTAATTCTCACTGTATATTTTTTTTGGTGATGAGTTTGAGAATAGTTTAATTTTTATAATATACTTAAAAATCCATCTCTAGACACTTGTTCTTTTTGTCATCTGTAAAATATATTGACCAAACAATGTCCTGAGAAGCTCTTTGTTTCAGGTCTGAACTGTTCCCTCTTAGTGAATTAGTAAGAATTGATTGGTCTGGTTTTCCCCCCTTTTTTAAGATGCTGGTCTTCAGCCGTATCTGGAACAAATCAACCTCATTGAAGAGCAGGTGGCAGCTCTTGAACAAGCAGCCTACAAGCTGGATGCCTATTCGAAAAAACTTGGTAACCATGTTCCTGTATTGTTATTATTGAGCAGGATAGCCTATTGTACAATGTACGTGGAAGAAGCCAGGAGTAATTTTCATAAAGATTTAACTAGTCTGTGTTGGAACTCTGAAAATGCAGTATGTGATTTTCCTCCTTTCAGGAAAGTGAGTAATAGAAATGTTCTGGAATAGCAAGAAGCATATTATAACATGGGTATATTAGAAGTAGCAGGCTTTATGTGAAGGCTGACTATAGTGTGGGTATTGTTGCAATGTAATTATTAACACCAGCTGATTATGCAAGGCACTCAATATCTGGTGCCTAAAGATGCAGATAGGTCCTCTTAAAAATTTCACCTAAGGAGGTTATGTGCATAAATCCCATTGATTTCCATGGGAGCTAAGCACCCAGTGGTATTTTTAAAAGCACCTGTTTGCAAATATAGGTGCCTAAATACCTTTGAAAAACTGTCCCAAGTGCCTCTTGTGACTCTGAAGTCAAGGGGAATCTAGAATACACAGCAGTTTACAGGATTGGGTCCTTTAGCCCTCCTCTCAGTTCTAACAACCATTCTGTTTTTCTTCTGCAGAAGCAAAGTACAAAAAACTGGAGAAACGATGAAATTCTACAACAAAAGGACACTTTTTCCTAAGATACGAGAATTGGGTCATGACTCAGATTGACTTGTCAAATTCCTAAGGTTTGAACTGCACCAAACATACAAGCTGTTATTCTGGAAGAGCCGTGTAGCCAGCGGGATGGATGCCTTGGCTAAGGACTTGACTGTAGCAGACATCAGACTAGTAATGTTGCTGTGTGTCTATTCCTTCTGAGGCTAGAAAACCTTCCCTTTTCTCAGAAGCCTGTTCTTTTACTGCCTCTATTATTGAGCTGTAGTCAAAAGCTGAAAGCTACACTGAGCTCTTATGAGTTACCATAAGACAGTGTTCAAATGTAATACTTCCTGAGTTCCATATGGCCTTGTAGAAAACTTCCTCCATAGCCTACCAATACATTCTCCTCTACAATTGTAGGACCGGAAATTCCCCTTGTTCCACTGCTTCCTTTTCCTCACTTAGAGCCCCGTGTCTAGCATAAATATTCTTTCCATCTGTACTGTCTAAAGATCTGTTTTCAGAGGTGCAAGCATGGTTTTGGATCCTCTTAAATTTGTCTTGGTATCCAGACTCTGTGGAAAGCGGAATAATAGTTATAGCTTTACCATAAAATTTTTCTCCATTGCAAAAGTCTTGAAACTATCTCAGATTTTGTTTCTGAGAACTAGTTTCTCATGCTTTATGCAGGTTTATCCTTTTAATGTAGCTGAGAACAGAAGCATCTAACTGTCATTGAGTGTATTTAGAGATCACAGGAGAAGATATTTAAGACTAATTCTGTACTTTGAAGTGGAAGTGGATTAAGCAAAGATACATTTGGAAAAAGGTACTTAAATTGTCAACAGCTTATTCCAGAATAACTCCATGTGTTGACAAGCCTTAAGTAAATATGTAACAGGCTAGAAAAGCTAGGATCTTGCATTATGAAAACAAGTGATAATCAGTTTCATGGAGATACTTCCCAGTACTAGGAGATTGTATCTTGTGTAAGTGAGTTGTATAGACCTCCCTGCAAGTTATGGTACTACTTATTTATCTGCTTTTTAGTTATCTAAAAGCAAACTTTTGATGGGACACCAATAATATTTATGGTGTCAATGCTATGTAGTGTAGGTATGAGATAGGAACCAAAGACTTCTCAGCTGAAAATAAGCAGTTCCATTTGTAACAATGGGATATGAACATTACAAATAAAAGCCAGATTTATCAATTCATGAGTTTTAGTGAGGTGGTATTGGAGGGTAGACTAAGCTTCAGGACAAAGAGTGCCTCCAAAGATGATCAAAGGAGAGGTTAACTATAACAAACTTGTCTTTCTACTACATTTAGTCGATTTCTTGTTGCACTTCTCCCCTTAGAATATTTGATCCTTGGTGTTCTATGTGTGCCCTGTTAAGGAGACTTAAGTTGTATTCAGTTTATAACTAACAAACAGGTTGTAGACTTAACACAATCAGGTCTCAGGCCCTGTTGTACTATAAGAGCATTTCTTCAACCTTTGCTGGGTATTTCCCATGGGGAAAGTGGGCATTTTACTGTAGTTATTAGAGATGGATTTCTTTATATCTGATTAATAAAAAGGCTGACAGTGAGTCATGAGCATGTAATTTTTTTTTTGAAGAAACAAGCTTTCAGCTTGGGAACTGAATGCTAAAGTTTGCCCTGAAGGGGTTTCAGGTTGAGGGAGAAGTTTGCTTTCTGGATGAACAGTGAGTAGCAGTAGTGGAAGCTTGCTCTCTAATGTTGCAGAGCAAAAATTATTCTTTATAGCAGCACTGTAAATGAAAGTGTACCAACCCTACAAAGCACATGGACAAGGGGGATCCAGTGGGTATAGCACACTTAAATTTCAGGAAGCTTTTTTACAAGGCCCCTCACCAAAGCCTCTTAAGCAAAGTAAGCTGGCATGGTATAAGAGGGAAGGTCCTCATGGATTGGTAACTGGTTAAAAGATAGGAAACAAAGGGTAGGAATAAACGGTGAGTTTTCAGAATGAAGAGCAGTATAGTGGTGTCCTACAGTAGTCTGTACTGGGACCAGTCCTTATTAATAAGGTATCTGGAAAAAGGGGTAACTAGATGGCAGAATTTGCTGAGGATACAAAACTACTCAAGAAAGTTAGTCTTGGGCAGACTGCAAAGAGCTACAAGAGGCTCTCTCAAAACTGGGTAACAAAATGGTAGATGAAATGTTAATAGATGTAAAGTAATGCACATTGGAAAACAATCCTAACCATACATAGAAAATGGGGTCTAAATTAGCTGTTGCCACTCACTGAGATCTTGGAGTCATTGTGGATAGTTCTCTGAAAACATCCACTCAAGGTGCAGTGGCAGTCAAAAAGTGACCAATGTTAGGAATCATTAAGAAATGGAGAGAAAAATATATTTGTGACAGGTTTGGTCACAGACCCCCTTGGGATTGTCACCTGATGTACTGGAACTACCTCTGAGCCTGTTTTCCCTGATGGCAGGGTTCCTGAGTCCCAAGCCTTCTTGAGCCACACATGCCAGCTTGCTGCAACACAGACCCAGATCTGGTCTGTGCCCCCAAAGCTGCAGGCTTTAACTGAAAACCACACAGCAGCTATTCTTGTCTCTAGCACCCAGACGCCCATCTCCCACTGGGATCTGAATGGCCAGTCAATCCATTTTACTCTGTATAAAGCTTATACCAGGTAGACTCAAATTATCTGCCTTCTATAACTCAGATATGCACAGCTGTTTAGTATCTGGGTGAGCACTCACTTACTCTAGGTTTATTAATAAACAAGTATAAAAAGTAATAGAACAAAGTTACCAAGCAAAATAAAATACACAAGTCTAAGCCTAATACATTTAGGCAACTGAATGTGTAAATCTCACCCTGAAATGTTCCACTAAGCTTCTTTCACAGACTAGATGCCTTAGTCTACATCTTGTTGGTTCCAGCTCAGGTGGTAACTAGGGGATTTTTCATGACTGCAGCCACCCCCTTTTTATAGCTTTGGCACAAGGTGGGAATCCTGTGCCTCTCTGGGTTCCCACCTTTCCTTCTAAATGGTGGAAGGACCAGGTTTAAGATGGATTCCAGAACCAGGTGACATCACATGTCACTATAAGACCTCATTCTCCATTCTTTCAGTGTTGGCCTGCATATACCCAGGAAGGTTTGCAGGTAAACAGCACCATTTACAACCAATTGTCCTGGTTCATAGACTATCAGGGTTGGAAGGGACCTCAGGAGGTCATCTAGTCCAACCCCCTGCTCAAAGCAGGACCTTAAAAATATCTAAAGGAAGGAGATTCCACCACCTCCCTAGGTGTAACGCATTCCAGTCCTTCACCACCCTCCTAGTGAAAAAGTTTCCTAATATCCAACCTAAGCCTCCTACACTGCAACTTAAGACCATTACTCCTTGTTGTGTCATCAGCTACCACTGAGACCAGTCTAGATCCATCCTCTTTGGAACCCCCTTTCAGGTAGTTGAAAGCAGCTATCAAATCCTCCCTCATTCTTCTCTTCCGCAGAATGAGCAATCCCAGTTCTCTCAGCCTCTCCTCATAAGTCATGTGTTCCAGTCCCCTAATCATTTTTGTTGCCCTCTGCTGGATGTTTTCCAATTTTTCCACATCCTTCTTGTAGTGTGGGGCCCAGAACTGGACACAGTACTCCAAACAAGGCCTCACCAATGTCACAGAGAGGGGAACAATCATGTCCCTCAATCTGCTAGCAATGCCCCTATGTATACATCCCAAAATGCCATTGCCTTCTTGGACTGAATGCACCTGATGAAGTGAGCTGTAGCTCGCAAAAGCTTATGCTCAAATAAATTTATTAGTCTCTAAGGTGCCCTATGTACTCCTTTTCTTTTTGTGGATACAGACTAACATAGCTGCTACTCTGAACTCTGTAGATTATTAGCTTTGTAATGATACCTTAGACTTCTTGCATAAAGCATATTCTAGTTACATTATATTTACACTCAGTCATATTTCCATAAAACATAGAGTTCAACACCACACTATTGCTGCTACATAAATCCATGGTACACCCACATCTTGAATACTGGGTGCAAGTATGGTTGCCTCCATCTCAAAAAGATTTGGAAAAAAGGTAAGGAAAAGGGCAACAAATGATTAAGGATATGGAATGACTGCCATGTGAGGAGAGAGATTAATAAGACTGGGGCTTTTCAGCTTGGAAAAGAGATGACTAAGGGGGGGATATGATCTAGGTCTATAAAAATCATGATTGGTGTGGAGAAAGTGCTATTTATGCCTTCTCATAACACGAGCTAGGGGTCACCAAATGCAATAGGCAGCAGGTTTAAAAACCCACACAAAAGGAAGTTTTTTCCCCCCCACAAAATGCAGAGTCAACCTGTAGAATTCCTTGCTAGAGGCTGTTGGGAAGGTCAAAACTAACAGGGTCTTAAAAAAGCCAGCAAACTAGATAAGTTCATGGAGGATAGGTCCATCAATGGCTATTAGCCAGGATGGGCAGGGATGGTGGCCTTAGCCTCAGTTTGCCAGAAGTTGGGAATGGATCACTTGATTACCTGTTCTGTTCATTCCCTCTGGGGCACCTGACATTTGCACTTCTCGAAAGACAGGATACCTGGCTAGATGGACCTTTGGTCTGACCCAGTATGGCTGTTTGTACACATCTGGTTTTCAGCAGTCCTTGTTCCATGGAAAAGTTCATTTCTTGGAGATAAGTGAGTGGATGGCTTCTGCAACACCCCTTATTCTGGGCTACTCCCTCAGCAAAATACAAGTAGAGCTGAGGAGTAAGTGTCTTTCAAAGGAATGAGTTGGTCCAAAGTCAGCTATCTAGCCAATTCTCCATGGCTTGACAGTTCTGTAGAGTCTTTCCCCCTTTAAGTTGCATACATTTTACATTGTCATTAACATTATAATATTGTCCCCCCATATAGAAGGAAGCCATCTTGTGTTTAGCAGGGAAGAGTGTTTTCTCATCCCCTTTCTGTCAGCACATAGGCCCAGAGAACAACTGTCAAACTGCATGTTGGCATTTCTACAATAGCAGGATGTAGGTGATCTTTTTTAAAGAGATCTTTTTTAAATACTCCTGCAGAGTTTTCCTATCAAAGGAAGCTTCAGTTTCCCTTGCTCTAGATTCCTGTTCTGCCCTCACTGCTTTGAGATCTTTCGTATCCTACTAACTCCTGTGAAGTGGTAGCACCAGACTCCTCTGATGTCCTTACAACTCCAGGGGAGCTTTGTGGCTTACACCCACTGAGATTCTGGACTACTGAAACTGCAACCTAAGTAATCCAATTTTAAGCTAAGATCACTGAAGATAATCGGGCTATTTTACAGTTCTTAAGAGCAAGCCACAAAGAGAGGGTGGCACCTTTGGCCCTAGGTGCAGCTGAGCTCTTACAGCTCAGCAGCATTAAGACAGCCAGTACTCTCTTGTTGAAAGTCTAACTGGTCATTAACTGCTCAGGAAGTGTTTGCAAGTAGTATGCCACTCCTTTGAGGCAGGGAGGAGAACTCATTTGGCTGATAGCTTGCTGTGACCTTCAGCCCCAGGCCGTCTCCACAGAGAAGTATTCCTCATTCTGCAGCAATGGTTGCTCATTCTAGGGTACAGGTTGACCTTAGTCCCACTATGCTGTTAGTTCAAATGTGAGTGTAGCACCACTCCACCTCTTGAGCTTCAGGCTCATGTTTAGTGATTGTACAACCACCACTGCCTGCCTTTCACCCTGCCAAGAGAAAGCTGACAGTTAACACTGATCTCTGTGCTGAGAGAAGGACTGGGAAAGGTTACTGCTACTTAATGACTGACTCTTCACAATTCCCCAGGGCTCCCACATGGCCTTTCAGGCTGCCCTGAAAGGCTCTGCTTCAGGGAGCTGTGCAATAGCAACCTGAGGGCACTATAACTGAAGCAGTGTCCCTTGTAGCAGGAGGGGAGAATTGGCGGTTTCATTCTTTAGTGGAGATGGATCCTGTGAATTAAAGAGTTTCTGGGGCAGAAAGTTTTGTTTTTAAAGCCCAAAGCAAATGGAGCCCTTGCCCACACAAGCAGGGGCATCTGTACCCCTTTGTGTATGCTAAGTATATTAGCTATCAAGGCAGGCATTATTCCAGAGGCAGAAGGCTACAGCCAGGTGAATCTTGTCAGCATTCTGAACAGATCACCTTGTCAAGGCAGCAGGTGTTCCACCACTTCATGTAGTTGGGTGCTACTAGTAGCCTTCGTCATGCACTTGACTGGAGACCATTCTAATGTGCATTGAGAGGGAAATTTCCAGGCACCAGGAAGGAGAGAAACTTACCAAGCCAAAGGCTATGCATTGGGATCTCAATTCAATTGAGTACTAAACCTTGCCTGTCCCACCCCAGGAGCAGTAGCCTCCCAACTGATCAGAAAGACCCAGAAATGGCAGATAAGTCTGAAGTGTTTATTGCAATGTAATTTCAGGCTGCATTGCTTTGTACTCACTACATTGCCGAGACAAGTATCATGAACAAGGCTCCCACAAGTGCCACACCAGCAACAGCTAGCACCCTGGGTGCTCCAGCAGTCATGGGCAGTCCTGTTAGAGAGATGAAGAGTATAACTACACAGGCAAACAGGGGCATGGGAGCCCCTTTGTTGCTTCAAATTAGGCCCCACCTATATTGGGGTAAGGAGCTCTATATAGATCATGATTTTAGGTGTAGGAGAGTTTCACACCAAAATATTAATCTAGTGGACATTAAGTCATTTCACACCTCCCTCTTGCAGATTCCCTTGGTTGGAAGTCCAGAGCCTTCAGCCTGTGCTTACATCTGAAAGGGTTCTCCCCAATGGTTTGTTAGCTGGAACATCTCTGGAAAATTTGGCCTCCCTCCCCACTGGTGATGGGTCTTTCATTTTCCCAAGTCTAATGTATTGAGGCAAACATCAGTATGTGGAAGCCTGTTGACTTCTGCTTTAGAACCACTAAGTCAGGAGAGTACACTAGATCAGACCTTTGTGTCCAATTTAAGAAGGGACAGGGGATAAACTAGTTTAGCATTAAAAGGGAATGTTTAGAGATTGGAGCTGTCTTTACTAAGTGTCTTTACTAAGTAATAGGCAACAAGTTGCTATTTAAAGTGGTTTGGTACTACAACTATAGTTTAAAAAAAGACAGACCATAGACAAAATTAAATAACCTACATCTAAACAGAGGGAGCATGAGAGCTAGATACTTGATTAGTAGGAACCCCTCTCACTGCCATAACTGGAATACTTGTGGCACCTTAGAGACTAACAAATTTGCGCAAAAGCTTTTGTGAGCTACAGAAGTGAGCTGTATAAGGGGTGAATGGGGTAAAGATCAATCCCCCACCTTGGTATTGGTCCAAGTTCACCAGACACTTAGGGATAGAGGTTCTAGACTCAGATGCTTACAACTGGCAGGTTGGACAGTGCAAGGACATCAGTGCCAGGCAGGGAGTAGTGCATCTTTGTGCTCATCTGAGCCCAAGGGGACATCACATCCCTACAACTGATGGAGCTCTGGCAGTGTCATTTATGGCTGCATCCAAGCTCCCTTGTAGGGAGAATACTAAGTGCCAGGAGTGGTCAGGTCAGTGGTACTCACGAAAGCTCTGCACAGCATCATTTCTTTCTGCACCACCCTGGAGAAGAAACACAGGCCCCCTGCTGGTGATGGAGGAAAGGCCAGTCTCTGGGTGATGCTCAGAGCTCCTTCTACCCCCTGAGAGACACATGAGGAACATGTTTTAGATTCAAAGCAGCATTGCCCCAGAGTGACCTGGTAGCCTGTTCCCATCATCCCAGAGGAGACTGCCAGACAGTACGAGTAAGTTAGCATCCCCTGCAGCAAAGGTTGCAATGTACAGCCTAATCCCCAATTTTTCTCCAATAAAGATCAAAGCTTGGACACAAGTTGAAGAGGCAGCTGCATTGATCTGATCTTAAGAATGCAGCACCTAGCAAGAGAAGTGACACGTTTGCACTGCATGGAAGTCTCATCTGCTGCACCCTCAGAGGGTACTAGCCACAATCACTGCCATTTGAAAGGCTTGGTGACACTTCAGCTTAACAGTCATAGAGTCATGCTGGGCCCAAATCACAACTGACCTAAAAATATAATTTTGGTGGGTCTGTGCAACTCCTCCTCCCTAGTGGCAATGCCTTGTGTACAGGCCAACGGCCACTTGCCTCCTGAAAGAGCAGCCTTGCTTTTCAGCTAGGCATCATCAGGCCCCAGTGGTTGTTACAGATCCACCATTGATTACAGGAGTCCTGGCAGCGGCCCTTATCCCCACCCCCTAGAGATCAGAACTTGGGCACTTACTGGCTCCAGCAGGGCAGGAGATGGTGCAGGACTCCAGCCTGGAGGGCCAGCACATGGAGGCACTGCAGTGCAGGTACACCTAGAGGAAGAACAGGTGTTAGGAATCAGGCTCTTGCAGTTAGCTATAGGAGCAGTGCTGCAGGGGATTCTCTAAACAGACTAGGGGCTGCTGTTGTACCCCAGCACTTTACTTCCCAAGGCTTCTGGGAGCCCAGCCAGTAGGTGAGGACCCCCTGAGAGGGAGCCCAGCAGTGTGGCCCCCTGCTATCCCACACTAAGGGAAGGAGATTCAGTGTCAAGTCACAGACAAGCCTGGATTTTGTTTAGATGGTCAGCCACCCACTCTGGACAGGAAAAAGAACCAAGGGTTTAGAAATATAGATAGTGTACATCCCAATGAGAATGTGAGCAGCTAATGCACTTGGAAGAGCTCCCTGAAAGGCAGCTATTGACAGATCAGGTGGTTAGAGAGATTACAGGAGAGTTTCTCCCTGACATGTCACATCTACAGAGCAAAGCAATAGTCAGAGGTCTCAGTGGGAGCTAAGAGGTGGGGACAGCACCACATACTTCAAGTAGTGAGACAACAGCACCCAAGTCCAATTTACAAGTCAGTCCTTAAGCTTGTTCAGTCCATTTGATACTGAAGAGTCAAGGCAGTTTGGTCAAGACTCCTGCTACTATAAAGCATCTGCTAGTATCTCAAGTGCTGGTGACATTTTCCCTCCATATACTAGTTTAAAGCTCTAGAAAGATGGTTCTCAACCTGTGACCCATGGCCCAGTCAGCACAGAGCTGTGGCCCATGTGACAGCCGTGGGGCCGAACAGGTATCAGATGCAGCTCAGTGGTAAATAGGTTGAAAGCCACTGCTCTAGAATGAGCAGCATCTGACACTGCTTCCCCACTCACTGTGGGAAGCCTGCTCTAGCACTGCTTTCTTCCTCAGTCAGTAAATACTTCACATTTGTGATGCCTCAAGAGACCAGAGGCAGGTCAGTCTTTAGCATGGGGATAAGTGACTGCCCCAGGTCCCAGTGAGGAACTTAAAGTGGGTTTAGAAACTATGTGACCAGTCCCATAACTCCAAGTCCTGTGATCTCACTAGGCAGCTGGCCTCAAGACAAGGCTATAGGGCAAGTGTATTTGTACACCCAATCTGGGATAAAGGTTAGTTTTAAAGGCTTTTCCACATGGCCTGCCATTTACAAAGAGTGGCCAAGGCTCTGTTTTTGAGCTGCTTCTTCCCAGACTCTAGGAAGAGTGTCCCAGGCTAGCTGCAACATCACTTCTCCCTAGTTGCCAGCTACAGAACCACAGTTGGCCATTAGCTGGTTATGATTCAGCTGAGGTGTTGGTTTGCTTCAGCATGAACAGTCAAAGCCCCCTTCTGCTTGTTTGAGGTCCCTGTAGGCCAGGTCTCATGTCCACTCTGAGCAGCTCACGAGAGGCTAGGCTGCTGTTCCAATGGAGTGGAGCTACAGCAGCTGACAAGAGCATCGAAGAGAAGCCATACCGGCCCTGTGAGCGCCTGCTGGGAGGCAGACTCCACAAACGTGAAGGTGCTGACGATGAAGCGCTGGTGGTGAGATGGGAACTGCAGCCCCGAGGCGGCTCCCACAGGCACCAGCTGGGTGCGGTAGTTGTCTCCTGCATATGGGCACCTGGGAATCAGGGGGGAGGGGGAGGAGAAGCAGCTGTGAGAAGGTGCCCTGCACTCCCCAGGCCCAAATAGAGACTCTTCTCCCTGGACCCTGTCACTCACCCATCCACCAGGATCGGCCACTGCGGTTGCTGCTGGGGGTTGGCACTGGGAGTGGCCCAGCAGTGGTGCAGGACCAGAACCAGATCTGGGTCAGTTCTCTGCAGGATCCGGACCTCCACGTAGATGGGGTCCTGCAGAACCTTCACCACAGGGTAATCTCTGTCTGTGTAGTAGGAGCCGTAATTCTGCTCTGGAACAGAGAGGTCACTGCAGATCAGCATTAGATGCATGTAGAGAATCTTAGTGCATTATACAGGATCAACACCCACAGTTCAGGCAGCGCCTGGACTCCCAGCTTGGGGTAAGCATTCCCACTGTGCTAGATCTAGCCCACAATGCAGGAGCAGGGCTGCCTTTCTATACGCTGAGGACAGAACCTCTCTCTCAGCCAGAAGTGAGCTGTAATTGAATCCTAAAATCAAAGTGCAAAGGACAGTCAAGTCACAGCCTTATCTCCCCCATCCTCCCTAGATCCATTCCACAGGGTCTTAAGGCCTCATCTGGCCTGGAGGGGCAGCTAAGCCAGAGACCAGATTCCTGCACCAAGAGGTAAGAATGAGCCCTTGCTCCACCACGTCACTCTCCAAGGAGCTCTCCTACCTGTGGCAATGCGCAGCTCCAGCATCAGGGGGCCAGGCTGGGACACAGCAGGGGGCGGGGGCAGGGTGAAGACCTGGACACTCAAGGGGAGGAAGTTCCCACTGATGGAGTAGCTGCAGCGGACGTGTAACCTGGTGGTGAGAGTGCCAAGAAGATGAGAGATGATCTCTGCAATGCATGCCTGGCCTTGATGGTGAAACACTGGAATGCGTTACCTAGGGAGGTGGTAGAATCTCCTTCCTTAGAGGTTTTTAAGGTCAGGCTTGACAAAGCCCTGGCTGGGATGATTTAACTGGGAATTGGTCCTGCTTTGAGCAGGGGGTTGGACTAGATGACCTTCTGGGGTCCCTTCCAACCCTGATATTCTATGATTCATTGAGGGGAAGGGCACTAGAGGGTGGTTATGAACCCCACAGTGGGAGGGACAGCATTCAGGGGAGCTGAGTTGCCCCATATGGGGTACCTGGAGGCGAGGCAATTAAGAATTAGTCCCATCTAGGGAGAACCTAGTGGGTGGTTCCTATAGATGAGGGACTGCAGGGCAATAGGGAAGGACTGAGGAGAGCTGCCATAGGGAGTTCTACTTTAGGATTGGCCCCAAAGGGACAGAGCAGCCAGGGTTCCAGGCAGGTGCCAGGGGGATGGCCAGAAACTGCCAAAAGGAGGCTTCCAGCAGGAAGCCTCACAAGGAATCAGACTTCCAAAGAGGAGTGGACGATGAAGTCCTGGGAAAGGCACCTGTGGTCAGGCAGAGGTAGGAAGTGGAAGATCTTGTAAGGAGAGACAGTGATAACTGCTTGATCCCAGAGTTCTTGGCTGGAAGCCAGAGCAGAGGGTGGACCTGGTTCCCCTCCCATCCCCAGGAGGGGGTAATAGGAAAACCTCCCACAGAGAGCAGAGTCAGTGACTACAGAACCTAGGCTGGGGCAAGTGACCCAACATAGGGTCAGATACTTTAGCATATTGGATTCCTACACCAGAATGAGTGAATAGGATGGACCCGACCAGAGGGCGGGAGTCCTGAGCAGAGGCTGAATGTGGAGTTGCTACAATGCCAGGCCTGGCTGCAGAGGGACATGCTGGCTGGTGAATTCACTTCATTTCCTCCCCACACCCCAGCCCAGGAAAGGGTTACAAACCAATATCCCCTTTATTGACTTGCTTCATGCTCAGCCCCATTCACCTCACTCCTCATGGCCAGTCTTCCCCAATGAGCTGAGAGAGCCCAGGGTTCTGGGGAAGAGTCACTGCAGTGTCTGGCACCTGCCATGGAACAGCTGACTGGAGGAACAGCTGGCCCTGAACCACTCCCATGCTATTGCCTGACATGACAGAGGCAGCTCTAGAGATTCAGGGTAGAGATACCAGCCCCAGGAGTTACCTGAAGGTGCTATCCCTGGTGATGGAGCCCAGAGTCCAGGTGTTCACATCCCTGTCTGCCACCAGCTCAGTCTCATACACACCCTGGTCTCCAACCATCTGCAAGGAGAAAGCAATCACTTATTTTATTTGGCATGTGCATGGTCATCTAGCCAAGAATTGGCATCTTCAGTGGCATGATGCAGTTCTTCTAGGCCACCACTGAACCTAGTCAGGTGGCATTCACCGACAACGTGCAGCTGTTATGGTGCCCCCATAAGGCTTTATAGAAATATGCTTCTGTATATATAACTGGAATATATGTTTTACGCTACATATGCCAAGTAATGAGTTATAAATTTAACTCTAAACAGCTTAAAAATGTTTTTAACACTCAAATCCCCAGCTTTCAATGGGGTTTAAACGCCAAATAAATTCATTTTACCCTGTATAAAGCTTATACAGAGTAAACTTATAAATTGTTTGCCCTCTAACACGAATAAAAAATATGCACAGCTGCTATTAACACATTCTGGGTTAATTAATAAGTAAAAAGTGAACCCCCTTCTATTGCTGAGTGACCCCATCCTGGCCTCCCCCAGCTCAACTCTTACCTGGAAAGTGGTGCCACAGGCAGAGAGTGGGAACCGGAACAGGACAAAGGCGTTGTTCTGCCCCACAGGGACACAGCCAGCACCGTGCCCATTGGCCAGATGCACCGAGTCCAGGATCAGGGGGGGCAGAGTCACAGCCCGAGAGACCACGAGGAAGAAATGGCCATCTGGAGTGCACTGCGCTGTCACTGGAAGGGAGCCAGGGACAAGTCAGGGCCACCTTCCTACCTGGGTTAGCCAGTCTCAGGACACTAGAGCAGAAGCCAGCAGCTTGTCCCGGAGCTGGATAAGAACCCACCATGTTCTACTGCACCCTTCCAGGGCACAGGCTGGCACTGCAAGGGACCCTGGCACATATAGCTCATGGTGGAGCTGTAATGGCCACGAGGCATGTGCCGTGGATTCCAGAGCAAGGGGCTGGGACTGTTATTGGTCACAGCTGAAGCACTCAGCCTGAGGCTGGATGGAAAGCATTGCACGTGGCCTTGATATCACACTAACTAGCCCAGCACCCAGCTGTCTCCAGGACTGGGTACGTGGAAACCCCACTCAGCTTTGATGCCAGGTATCTCAGCCACTGCCCCCCCCCCCACCACCCAAATGTGGGACCATTACAGTCAGCTCTGGACAATTCATGTGCACAGAAACTCACCTGTGTTGCCATAGTAACAAGGCTTCACCCTATCACTGGGGTTGTAACAACAGCCTTGTTCTTCACAGACTCCCTGGGTGATGGGTGGGGAGCCACAGGGCAGCCTATCCTGGCTCTGGATGGCAGCACAGACATCAGGGCTTGGAGCATCCAGGGCTGGGGTGAGACAGGTGGGAAGCAGTAAGGAACAGAGACTAGGTGGGACAAGAGACTGGGCTACAGAGCATGCTCCCTCCTGGCCTGGCTAGGAGCTTTGAGGCTCCCTCAGGACCCCAGGCATTCTGCAGGACAGACATCCTGCCTCCAGCTCACTCTGCTGCGGGGCTTCAATCTGAAGCCCCGCAGCAGAGTGAGCTGGAGGTACCCATCTCGGGGGTACCTGGTCTGTGCACTCTCAGCCCAGAGACTCACCATTTAATCCAGGAACAGTTTGGGTAATGGGGTAGTGGAGACATGGCCTCTAGGGAAGCCTCCAGCACCTGTCACCATCCACAGGCTCTGCCTGGAGCTCTTAGGGGCTAATGCAATACAAAGACCATGAACACCAGGCTCTCCTATGTGAGAAGAGCAGCCAAGCAGCACGGAGTGCTCTCTGCCCAGGGCATTGTTTTGCTCAGCCTGCAAAGAAGGGCTGTCACTGGCCCCACAGTCGCCACCTGACCCCAGGGAGGAGAAGAGGGAGACCAAGGCCTCCCTTTGTGTAACTGGAGGAGAGCAGCCATCTCCACAAGATCGTTCACAGCCACAGGCTGGGGCATTCAGCATAAGACACTAGGCCCTCACCTGGCAGGCTCCTGGGGCACCTGAGCACCTTCTCCTCATGCAGGGCCCTGCGCTCACCAGCAGCCATCCCCTTAACACCAACCACCATCAGGTAACCGCCATCCTGGGGAGAGAGACCCACAGACATCAGGGCTGGCAGAGCAGCAAGCACAGAACCCAAGGCAGGTGCCAGAAGGTCACTCACCCATTCAGAGACATAACAGCCAGCATAGGAGGCACCAACTGTCCTGGAGCCATCTGCAGCCTGGGAGACCCAGATCCCACAGCTGGAGTCATTCTGCAGAGCATGCAGCTTCCCAGCCACATCTAGGGAGGAACGAAGAGATCAGCAGCCAGTGCAGGGGAAGAGGGCACAAGAGTATTCTAAGGAGCTACTGCCCCCCTGCACAGAGGGGACAGGCTCCTGGCTGTGGGGGGGGCAGGAGGGCTGCCCAGGCCAGAAGCCCTGCCCAGCTCAGTTCAGCCATTGCTCAGGCTCCCTAGGACTCAGCCAGCTGCTGGGCAGGGCTTGGACAAGCAGAAGGATCCCTGGGACAGAATCAGTCCCTTCCCCTCTCCCTGAAACCACACACTGGGCTCCCTCCAGACACCCAGGGAGGGGCACACAGGTCTAGCCTCACTTACCCCAAGCAGTCAGTGCCAGGGAGTCCACCCCAGCCTGGCCAGGATGCAGCATGAACTGCAAGCTTCTCTGGCCACAGACCAGCTCCCTAGGATCCCCCAGAGCAAAGGGGCAGTACAGCAGCCAGAAGCACACCACTCCCCCATAGAGCCCACACCACGCCCCAGCCATGCTGCTCTCCTACCAGTGACCCATAAGGCATCTGCCCCCAGTCTGCCTCCTTTGTACTCTGCAGGCAGCTGGGATTGGCCAGAGCCCAGGTGGCCATTCCTGCAGGGCCAAGGGAGAAGAGCCCAGCCCCTCCCCTGAGGTCTGGCCATACCCTGCCCCTGGAAGGAGAAACCTTGGGGGTGGGATGGAGCTTCCTGGCCCTTCTCAGAAGGAAGCAGAAGATGGGTCTGTGTTCATGGCATGTTACTGAGGGGAGGTCAGTTTATTCCTTCCCGTTGGAACCCCGGGAGGGTTCAGACCTTCCTTCCTCTCCAAACGCTGGTGCTGGGCCTCGCCCAGCTGAGGGATCAGCCTGGCCCCTTGCCAAGGTCCCCCTGCTGCATGATGGGGGCATCCCCCGCTTCCAGGCCATCTGCCACCAAGCCAGCTCTGGACTCATTCTCTAGAGCTGCTGTGGCACCAGACTCCCTTTGGAGCAGGAAGGCTCCTCGGGGACAGCCCCAGCCAGCCCTCGCTCAGTTCACACACTGGGCTGGCTTGGGCTGGAGGACGGCCAGGTTCCCTGCATCAGGCCCTTGCAGAGGGACCGGTGAGAGGCTGAATCTCCATTGCCATAGTTACCAAAGGAGAAGGGAAGTGTTTTACCCCCTCTGCTGTTAATGAGGCACAGGCCAGTGGATAGTCAGGCCCAGAGAATCCAGTTCTTGTGGGAAGCTAGGTTTGGTTTCTCTTTGCACCATTGCTTCCCAGCCCAGCAGTGACCCAGGGCTATCCAAGTCTATTGAGTCTTGGGGACCCCAAACTCATCTCTGTTTCCTTTGAACAAATGCAGGAACTGGACCTGCCATAGCAGCTTGGGTCGAGGGATGGGTGCATGGGATGTGCCTAAAGCTTGTGCTTTCCTGACAGTTTCAAAATACAAATGGAAAACAATTTTCATCCCATGGAGCTGTATGGATCCCAACTTCATTCATCAGGAGCGGGGGACCTTTAGAGTTACAGCACAGCCCTCTACCATTGAACTAGAGGAATAACTGGTAGGAGTACTAGCCTGTTAGCCTCTATGGCAGGGGCGGGCAAACTTTTTGGCCCGAGAGCCACATCTGGGTATGGAAATTGTATGGCAGGCCATGAATGCTCACGAAATTGGGGTTGGGGTACAGGAGAGGGTGAAGGCTCCGGCTGGGGGTGCAGGCTCTGGGGTGGGGCTGAGGATGAAGGGTTTGGGGTACAGGAGGGTGCTCCAGGCTGGGACCAAAGGGTTCAGAGTGTGGGAGGGGGCTCTGGGCTTGGGCAGGGGATTGGAGCACAGGGGGGTGAGGGCTCTGGCTGGGGGTGCAGGCTCTGGGGTGGGGCTGGGGATGAGGGGTTTGGATTGCGGGAGGGGAATCAGGGCTGGGGCAGGGGGTTGGGGCGTGGGAGAGACTCAGGGTGCAGGCTCCAGGTGGCATGTCTCCCCTCCAGCTCCTATGCGGAGCCGCAGCCAGGCACTGCCCCATCCACAGGCGCCGCCCCTGCAGCTCCCATTGGCCGCAGTTCCCAGCCAAAGGAAGCTGCGGGGGCAGTGCTTGGGGGCAGGGGCAGTGTGCAGAGTCCCCTGGCTGCCCCTACACGTAGAAGCCAGAAGGGTGACATGCTGCTGCTTCCAGGAGCTGCGCGGAGTTGCAGCTAGTGCTCATGGAGTGGCCTCCCCCCAACCCCGCTCCCCAGATGGCGCTCGGGAGCGGGGCAAGCCCCAGACCCCGCTCCCCAGTGGGAGCTCAAGGGCCAGATTAAATTGGCTGGTGGGCCGTAGTTTGCCCACCTCTGCTCTATGGGTATGTCTGCACAGCCCGCAGCAGCAAGCCTGTGAGCCCATATCAACAGACTTGGGCTACTGCACTAAACATAGCTGGGTAGACATTGTGGCTCGAGCTCTGAAGCCTAGGGAGTGGGGTATGTTTCAGGGCATGAGCTCCAGCCAAGCCCCCACTTAAAAGTGCTCTTGACACAACTGTTTTTGCTGTGGTAGCATGAGCCCAAATCTTTCAGCCTGGGCTTGGAGACTCAGTGCCATGGGTTGCCGCTGTCTGCATGGATGTACTCTACATGGCTGAAACGGAGGAGAGATGCATGCTTTGCCAGCAGGTTTCAGAGCTATTTGCTGACAGCCAAGGACTGGTGTGGCGCAGGACTCCTGGGTTCTCTTCCAGGATCTGTTAGGGAGTGATTCTAGTAGTCATTTTTCTTTCTGCCATTGGGCTCCCTCCTAGTCTCTACCCCCTCAACTGCTCTTATTTATATTACCATAGCATTTGGGGCCCTGTAGTCACCCACACTAGCTCCTGCCCCTCCTCCTATCCCACCCCGACCATGGCTTCTGCCCTCCCAGCTCTGTGTCTATCTTGTCCCTTTCCATTTTCCCCCCCATCCTCTGTGTGTGGGTCAGGCCCTTTACTCCTCCTCGGTGCAGCCTGGCCCAAGCAGGGGGCATTGAGATCACAGGAGAGACAGGTGCCTTGCTCTCAGTTTTGGTGCTCAACACCACAATGTCCCCTCCTGACCAGCAGAAAAAATTTAAGGGAAAGTGCTGCTCAGTGGAGATGAAAACTGGAGAATTTAGCTCCAAACAAACCTCCACTGAGCCTGAGCAAACTGATTTTTTCAAAGGCTCGTGACTTGGCTCCATGTGGGAGAAGCTTCTCAGGACCAGCAAGAGGTACAGCCCAAACATCAAAACAGCCACTCTGGGATGTTTCAGCTCCCAGCTCCCCACCAGGAGAGTTCTAGAACTTCTCAATGAAGCAGCTATTTTCTCTCTAATGGGGCAAAACCTATTCTCTTCTCCCCCCCCCCCCCCCCATTAATCCTTGCAAACAGCTGCTCTGTTTTAGGTGAAACTTTCCTTTAAAAAAAATTCAGCCTGAGGCAGACACCTGAGCTGGAAAACTTCAGCCCAAATGGCTCAGAGCAACTGAAAACAGAGCCCTAGAATGGAAAACATCAGGCCAGCATTCACTAAAGGCTGAGCTGGTCACAACTGACTTGGTTGTTTTAAACTGTCTCAGCTATGCACACATGCCGCTATTCCAGTGGACCTAGGTTGCATTAAGGCAAAACAGATCTTCCTAAAGTTTTCAGTAAAGAAAAAGCACTACAGATTGCACCAGCCCAGAGGTTGGGGCACTCAGGAGGGATGGGGGAGATCCAGGGTCAAGGCTCTGACTCCAGCAGAGCAGGGACTTGAACATAGTTCTCCCTCATCCCAAAATACCCTAACACCAGCTATGGGTTATACTGGGACTGGTCTCTGTGTGAACAGACGTTCTACCCTGGACTCCAGAAAGTGGGTAGTGGAGATCACAGCAGGGCTGCTGGAGCTCTGCTGACTAATTCTGCACATCTCTCCTGCTTTTCTGGGGAAGCTGTAGCTCAGCCAGGATCTCCCCCAAGACCGGTACAGAAGATGTTATTGACCTTTGTACAAACACAAGATTCCCTTGCTCTTTGGGCTCTCTGTCCCCCTTGCCAATTCTATAGCCTTCCCCTCACTCTGGAGTATGTCACTTCCCCAGGGCAGCTATTAATTCTCTCACCAGCCACTGCCTTCCTGCTGATCAGCCAGGATCCGTAGCAAACATGAGAGAGGAGCGCTGGGATTAGTTAACAGTTTCCTCAACCAGCAGTTGGTTTTATACAGTTCCTGCCTGTATTTTGCTTTAGTATCCTCCACTGGTTGAGTTGGCCAAGCACAGGAGAAGCATGGAGGGAGTCCTGAGCTTTGCAGGGTGGTGGCATTTGGATCATACAGAGGTACTAGTTGACCAAACTAACTAGCCCCATTCAAGCCTGCCTAGCAAGAAGACTAGTGATCACACTGAGATGAGGTACAGCACTGGTGCTCCATATGCTGTAAGACTCAAAATAAGCTAAGTTCCTTGGTGCTGCTGCCAGAGGAGCAAAGCATCTGGTTTCTGGCTGGGAGGTCACAATTGTCCATTCCTGCACAGCTGGTCGGACAAGGAGTAGGCAGGGTTGGGCTCACCTCCATTAAGGCAACAGGCAGGAGTGGCAAGCCCTTTCCCTGGTGCTATCACTGAGGCAGGAGCAGACACATGGTGCTTCACTAGGCGTCCCTCCACAGGCTGAGCAGGCTTGAGTTCAAACCCGTAACTGCTCTGTGACATTGCACCCCATAATGCTTTATAGAAATATGCTTCTGAGTGTAAATATGACATAACTGGAATGTTTTATGCTAGATATGCCATGTAGCATATCTCTGCAAAGGTTATGATCTACTGGATATATTCATCCTATTTGTATGCATGTATCATGTTTGTATTCGAACTTATGAATATTGGCTGTGTACTTGTTTGATTTTAAGTAGCCTCAGTGAAGCATTTGGTCAGCTTCTTGAGAAAGGACTATTCTCAGGAAATGCCCAATCAAGTTGACAATGGACTTTGAGATCCACATCTGAGCTTTCCTGGGAACAGTCAAACTAACATGTAAGCAATGGCATTGGCCTGTAAACAACTGAGTCATGCATGGACATGTGACTTGCCCATGTGACTCCAAAACTCCATCTTGTAGCTGTGATTCTGCATAGGAAAACACAAGGGGTTTCCACCCATAAGAGAGACTATATAAGTCCCTGGGGAAACACCTCCATTTTGTCTTCAGGTGGCTCAAGAGATAGCCTTTCCACCCCAAAGAGATGCCTGAAAGAAACTGGAAAAAAGGACAGTAACTACAAGGGTGTGAGTGATTGCTGGACCCAGACTAGGAGGAAGCCTAGTCTGTAAAAGAAGCTCATTGGAACATCTCTGAGGGTGAGATTTACCTGCATTTAGTTTCTTACCGTTAGGCTTAGATGTGTGAGTTTTATTTTGCTTGGTAATTCACTTTGTTCTCTCTATTACTTAGAACCACTTAAATCCTACCTTTTATATTTAATAAAATCACTTTTTTACTTATTAACCCAGAGCAAGTAATTAATTCCTGGGGGAGCAAACCGCTGT